TTCAGAATAGTTTAAATTTATTTTGTGATTCCCGCTTATTCAAATTCACGCACGTTTAACATTTCAGATGATTTTTTATATGAATAGTTTGGTTTAAAGAAAAAAGCCTGTGAAAGCTCGATCCTTTTCAACCTGACTCATAAAATCAGTATGGCAACCACCCCTTAATTTCTTCCTCATTTCCCCTGTTTGTTTGATCACCTTAATTTCAAACATAAAATCTTGATCTGGATGTTTTCCGGAAATCACTCAAACTAATTCAGGATAAAACGCTATGCGGAAGTTGGTCATGGTAGAACGTATACAGGAAATCCGGACAACTCTAACGCGCATGTCATATTTCTGTAATTAATATTTGGGTAATGTCAGTACCGTCTACGCTTTGTTAAACTGTGTCATTTCGCTAAATAGTTCACAGTCTGTGCGCCATTCCGGTTTGATCATTAATTTACTTTCAAGCATTGCCGGATAAAAGTGTCATTAGAGGGCACAAATACAACCGGACCGGATGAGGATACACGCAGTTTCATTCGCGTTCAAAAGCTTTCGCTAGCTGGATTCATTTGTAGGAATAATGTATGACGTTGATGCTTGTACTAATTAGTTGGCCCTTCTGCTCTGCTGTCCGCTTTCAAAGTGAAGCACAAGTTATCTGACAAATTCAGTCATGTTTGCATGTAGGTTTCCACTCAGTACTCTATATAGATTCTAACTGTTGAATATTGTCTTTTTTTGAAGGAGCGATAATGGTATTTTTTGGCTTCATAATTTGAACACTTTTGGTTGTGCAGATGTACATATTTTCCAAAATCCTCAAGATTTTCTGGAACATATCTTGGTTGAAAAGCAGGTGGTGGCCAAACCGGTGCGCTGATTTCCCATCCGGAAAATAATCCTTTTTGTAACTACTGTAGCTTGACTGCGGTAATCATGATGCACTTTTGATATTTCTGCGATTACTTCCCTGTATGAGATCGATTCCCCTTATTAACTTAAGAAAATGTTTGCTCATTGTGATTCCTGCAACTTCAAATTTCAGAATTTTAAACCAATTAGAGAAACATAGGGTCATTTGCTTTTTGTACATTTTCTTCGAAGCAACCATTTCCCATAAACTCCCCTAAAATAGTATGAAGAACAACTAAACTTGTTGAACTTTTAGCTAAGAAAGAGAGAGAGAGAACATGTAAGCGCAATTTGTTTTGGTTCTCTTAACTGCATTCCGTTGCTAATACATGTAAGAGAGTGTGCCCGACGGCATTCTATTCTGGAAACACCTTCAATCCTATATATTCAACCGATATATCAGGCGGACAAATGTCAAAGGGTATTTGCAATGCAGTCCTGTCGATTTTAAGCATGAATTAGTCCGTGCCGGTTATGTCCGTTTAAATGTTGGAGATGGGCAGCGCAGACATACAAATTAGTGACCAGTTTTTTTTTTTTTTTTGTAAATCAAATCTGATTGAGTGTGCGAGCAAAGGATCATATCCGCAGATCCTCTTGATAGCAGGAGCATGCTTTTGGTTTCGTTGTGGATGACAAGACAGTGTATCTTCGAAGTCATATAAGGTGATATCACATAATTTCTGGGCTTGCTGTGGAGCCCATCACTCGTATTAGGACTGGTACTGCATCCTTTTATGATTGGGGGTCCAGCGAGTGGTTCTCACGGTGGGGTATTGTGCATTTTAGGGAGAAAAAAACATGAACAATGGTACATGGTTGCTTTATGGACAATGACAGTTTTGTGTAAAGTGGGTCATGTCAAGGTAATTCAGAGTACGGTGGTCGATATAGTCGTTTCTCATTTCTATGCTGTGTTCCATGCACCGGAGGACTCCTCCTCGATGGCCTTGTCTTCTGTGGTGCACCCTGCACCGGCGGATTCCCTATCTTCGACGGCCTTGCCTTCTGTGGTGCACCCTGAACCGGTAGATGCCCTATCTTTGACAACCTTGTCTTCTGTGGCGCACCGGGAATCGATTCGACGGCCTTGTCTCCTGTGGTGCACCCTGCACGGGCGGTTTCCCAATCTTCGACGGCCTTGCCTTCTGCGGTGCACCCTGCACCGGCGGATTCCCTATCTTCGACGACCTTGCCTTCTGTGGTGCACCCTGAACCGGTAGATTCCCTATCTTCGACGGCCTTCCTTCTGTGGTGCACTCTGCACCGGCAGATTCCCTGTCTTCGGCGGCCTTGCCTTCTGCGGTGCATCCTACACCGGCGGATTCCCTATCTTCGACTGCCCCGTCTTCTGCGGTGCATCCTGCACCGGCGGATTCCCTATTTTCGACTGCCCCGTCTTCTGTGGTGCACCCTGCACCGGCGGATTCCCTATCTCCGACGGCGGATTCCCTATCTTCGACGGCCTTGCCTTCTGTGGTGCACTCTGCACCGGCAGATTCCCTGTCTTCGGCGGCCTTGCCTTCTGCGGTGCATCCTGCACCGACGGATTCCCTATCTTCGACTGCCCTGTCTTCTGCGGTGCATCCTGCACCGGTGGATTCCCTATCTTCGACGGCCTTGTCTTCTGTGCACCGGCAGATTCCCTCTCTTCGACAGCCTTGCCTTCTGCGGTGCACCCTGCACAGGCAGATTCCCGGTCTTCGACGGCCTTAATATTGCCTTCTGTGGTTCCCCCTGCACCGGCGGATTCCCTTTCTTTGACGGCCTTGCCTTGTGTGTTGCACCCTGCACTAGTACTGGCGGATTCCCTGTCTTCGACAGCCTTGTCTTCTGTGGTTCACCCTGCACCGGCCTTCCCTGTAATCGAGGGCCTTGCCTTCTGTTTTGCACCCTGCACCGGCACGGCGGATTCCCTATCTTTGATGACCTTGTCTTCTGTGGTGCACCCTTCAACGGCGGATTCCTTGTCTTCGACGGCCTTGTATTCTGTGGTGAACTATGCACCGGCAGAATCCCTTCCTTCAACAGCATTGCCTTCTGCGGGGCACCCTCCACCAACAGATTCCCTATCTTCGACGGCCTTGCCTTCTGTGGTGAACCATGCACCGGCAGAATCCCTATCTTCAACAACATTGTCTTCTATGGTGCACCCTGCAAGGGCAGATTCCTTATCTTCGACGGCCTTGCCTTCTGTGGTTCGCCCTGCACCAGCGGATTCCCTTTCTTCGAGGGCCTTGCCTTCTGTGTTGCACCCTGCACTGGCGGATTCCTATCTTCGACGGCCTTGTCTTCTGTGGTTCACCCTACACCGGCAGATTCCCTGTCTTCAGCGGCCTTGCCTTCTGGTTTGCATCCTGCACCGGCACGGCGGATTCCCTATCTTCAACGGCCTTGCCTTCTGTGTTGCACCCTGCACAGGCGGATTCCCTGTCTTCGACGGCCTTTATTGTCTTCTGTAGTGCACCCTGCACAGGCGGATTTTCTTTCTTCAACAGCATTGGCTTCTGCGGTGCACCCTGCACCGATGGCCTTCAAGTTGTCTTCTGCAGTGCACCCTTCAACAGCGGATTCCTTGTCTTCGACGGCCTTGTCTTCTGTTTTGCATCCTACACCAGTGGATTCCCTATCTTCGACGGCCTTGTCTTCTGTGGTGAACCATGCACCGGCAGGATCCCTATCTTCAACATCATCGCCTTCTGTGGTGCACCCTGCACCGACGGATTCCCTATCTTCGACGGCTCTGTCTTCTATGGTGCACCCTGCACCGGTGGATTCCCTATCTTCGACGGCCTTATCTTCTGTGGTGCACTGCCCTGCACAGGTGGATTCCCTTTTTTCAACAGCATTTCCTTCTGTGGTGCACCCTGCAACGACAGATAACCTATCTTCAATGGCCTTCAAGTTGTCTTCTGCAGTGCACCCTTCAACGGTGGATTCCTCGTCTTCGACGGCCTTGTCTTCTGTTTTGCCCCCTACACCAGTGGATTCCCTATCTTTGACGGCCTTGTCTTCTGTAGTGAACCATGCACCGGCGGATTCCCTATCTTCAACGGCCTTGCCTTCTGTGTTGCACCCTGCACCGGCGGATTTCCTGTCTTCGACGGCCTTTATTGTCTTCTGTGGTGCACCCTGGCGGATTCCTAGCTTTTGATGTTCCATGCACCAATGGGTATCCTGTCTTTTGTGGTAATCACTGTACCTCCGGCCTTAGCTAAGGCCTTGTCTTCTGTGATTCGTCCTGCATATCTCGGGGTCAGCAGTCTGTTGGCCTACTGTCGCCTGCTCCTGCCAGCTGTCTGACTGTCGGTGCCATAGCTGTACATCGATTCTAATTTGACGCGATCTTTTTACTGAAGCAGATCCTTTGGTTCACATCAACCGCTTATCCCGTGGCCCAAGGATTTCTTCGACGTCTGTACAAAAAAACTCCAAGGAGTCTTCCAACCTCCGAAAGTGAATAATGACATCGTATCCACGATTTCAGCCATAACTGTGTGCTTCGTCATTTTCGGTCGTGTTGCAAATTGCATTGAGTCAAATTATCCCATCACTACTACGATTTGTATCGAACGCCTATTGCCAGGTCCTTGTTTGTTCCCGTCGGCCAAACGCAAAGGTAAACAAACGAACTCAATCCCACTTCTCGATGCTCACTCATTGAACTCAGTATTCCGCCTGCCTCCTGGCATGGCAAGACAACCTCCAACCATGCCCATTGCGAGGGGGGGGGGGGCAGGCCCTCCCCCACCCCCTGACGAGCAACTGCCCCCCCCCCCTCCCCTATCGGCAAAAACCATAAGCGCAAAAAATGTATATTAAGTGTGTTTTTTCTTTTGGTGTACCCCCTAGTTTTTACTCTGCCCCCCCCCCCCCCCCCTTAATGCCCGGGGCTGGCGACGAGGCTGCCTCCAATAATAGACTCAATAATATAATTGTTATACAACGTATACTCATCGACCCTGGCGTCTGGCCAAACCCTTCACTCTCTCGCTGAAAAAAAGAAACCCACTTAAGACATTTATTTATAGGGCCTATGTCTGGAGCGCGCTTTTATCATCCAAATAGTTTGTGAGAGAGTGAAGAAAGCGAAGCTCGAGAGAGCGTCTTGGATTGCTACTGGATTATTAGAACGTGTCGCAATTGCAAATTGCCGTTAAGAAGAGCGCGCGCCCCCTGTAATTGTCCGGCACATGCTTTGCTGCTTTGAACAGCGCCTCCAATCGATGAAGTTGTCTTATTTTTTTTGGTCGGAGAGCTGGCGCTACATTTGGAACAGTGGAAATTAGTAGAAATCAGTGGAAATCATGGTGGTCACTCGGTAGGTGAGTGAAAACTCTGCATTAAAATAAAAATATGTGGCCCGAAGAGGTCCTTTAAACAATTGTTCCCAATTTTTAAAAGAGATATGGGTCTGGTTCCTTTGTTCGTGGTCATGTAGCCCCACTTGTGTGGCCGGTCTCGCCCTCGGTATTGCTGCGCTGCACCGTCGGCCACACGTCTTTCCAACCTAGTTTAGCAATAGCATTAGCATGTTTTGTCCAAACAGTTTTGGCGCAGATTTTGTGGGCACTTTTTTACATACCACTGCATACGGTTGTATTCTATGATGTCTCATCTTATACCCTCCGGGTAGATAAGGGAGGCCTAATCTTTCATATTTTTTGAGAAATGTTGCCATCTTTCTGGAGTCCATATGCGCCAGTTTCGGCCTATAAAAAACTCCTCACTACTACTACTAGTAGATGCGATGTGTTGAACGCGTCGTAAGTTCCTTGACAACGGCTTAAAGCCCGAGTCCATCATTTGCAGCTATCCAAAAAAGTAACTGGCGTAGTTATTGTTGAAAAACATACTGGTTGAAAGATAGTAAGGGGACTAAACTCTCTGTGAAATTATCCTTTCTGGCAAGCTCTCATTTTGAAGAAATCAACGAAAGAAGGCATTTCCAACGGTGCGTCTTAAGAAGCACCGTAGAAAAATTTAAATTAGTAGTTCGTTTTGTTATTCGGCGCAGCGCGCACAAGCATTGGAACGATGCACAGGCGCACACGGTTGCTTCGTCAGATCAGTGCGCGACATCACGTAAAGCTGCAATTCAAAACAATTCGAAACATGATTTAGCAACTTTTGATTGAGATTCTAGAATGCTGTTTTTCTCGGAATATAAAGCTGAAGCTGAGCTGAAACTTCATCAAGTAAGTTGTTCAGTATCCTTCATTAGATTTTGAACACTTTTGTTGCTTCAAACGAACAAAATGCACAAATTACAAATGATGGACTATATCTTTAAAACACGTCAAGTTACGACGTGTCTAGTGGTCATCGCAAAATACGAAGAGTCCCTTTCTAAGCCAGTTTAATGCCATAAACATGACAAAAACAAGATTATAATAATGCCGAGGCAATGTGTGTAAAGTTGTAAATAGAAAATTCATTGAATAATTGTGAATTAGACTGGAATATTGCAGTTGAAATTTCAAAGTAGCAATACTGTCCACGGAGAGCTTGTTTTCCTTTAAATTTGCATCGCACGGCCACCATTTTGTTTTACTTTGTAACAAATTTCGAGCTGAGATCCGACGACTCTTTGTTGAATATCAGACGACTATTTACTGTACGCTGACTAAATACATAAAACAGTCACATGTGCTATAAATACACCTGCGATGCATCGCACTTACGATGTGTTTCGTGAAATGGATCGCAGCCGCGACGCATCGTATTAAGTTTCGAAGAGTTTGATGAAATCGGGTGCAGGCCACACCTTCCGTGATTGTGTACAAAGTCTGTGTACGTGTACGTGTACATGTACATGTAGTAGGCCTACTGGTAGAGTCAAGAAATTTTTCTAAAGTATTTCCTTACAAAATTGGAAACGTTTCTCAGTCATGTCAGTCCCAGATTCAGGTAATCCTTGCTTTTAGGACCCTGTACCTATATAAGGTTAAAACTCCAGGTGCAGATCTGGGAGGGGGGGGGGGGTAAAAAATACCCCCAGCTCTGTCCCCCCCCCCCAAAAAAATATCATACAAATTCCTAAAAACTAATGCGAAATCCCCCCCCCCCCCCCCTGCTGCTGCTGTGACACCCAAAAAAGAAATTATACTGGTATAAACAGCGCCCCCTATTGAAATATGGTAAAATCCCCCCCCCCCCTCCCCCCAGTTTTTGATTTTACGGAGGCTTAGTGTCCGGAGAAAAAACCTGTGTACATTTTTAGATTTTTTTGCTGATGAAAATGGCTGCAGCATTACATGTAGGTCAGGGAACCAGATAGTTTACTGCCATGCCGTAACTCGCAGTTGAAAATCGCGTAACTCGCAGTTGAAAATTGCATCAGGGCTGCTGTAACGATAGCCACTGCGGTTAAATAAATGGCTGTCATCAAGCTGCCACAGGTGGTCTGAAGTGGATGAGATAAGCTATGGTTTATGGATCAAAAGATCACTGGTTCGAATTCACCAATGCCTATTTTACTACTAAAACTATCTTACTTCAAATTTATCGTTGGGATAGTTTTAATGTAGGGGAAAAAGAGTCCAAGAACCTAAGTGTCTTGCAGTGATTCCACTGAAATTAAACATGCTGAATCTACTGACATAGGTTCTCAGTGTGAACTGACAGCAAATTAGCGTTAGGAAGTACAATGTACATGTAAGTAATTCTTGCCAGGGATGGCAAAATATCCACTGCCAAAAACTAAACCTTTTTGATATTCACGATACAACAGAACAGAAAATGGAACAAGGAATTTTAACTTCAGGGGTGCAACATTTGAAATCTCCGCATCCAGCAAGTCTTAAAGGTAGAGTCCATCATTTGCAGCTATTCGAAAAGTAACTGGCGTAATTATTGTTGAAAAACTAACTTGGTTGAAAGATAGTAAGGAGACTAAACTCCCTGTGAAATTATTCTTTCTGGGAAGCTGTCATTTTGAAGTAATCAACGAAAGAAGGCATTTCCAACGGTGATTCTTAAGAAGCACCGTAGGAAAATTTAAATTAGTAGTTCGTTTTGTTATTCAGCGCAGCGCGCACAAGTATTCGAACGACGCACACGCGCGCGCGCGGTTGTTAGAATTCGTCGGATCAGTGCGCGACGTCGCGTATAGCTGCAATTCAAAACAATTCAAAACATGATTCAGTAACTTTTGATTTGAAATTGAGATCTTAAAATGCTGTTTTTCTCGGAATGTACAGCTGAAGCTTAGCTGAAACTTAATCAGGTTAGTTGTTCAGTATCCTTCATTAGATTTTGAACTCTTTTGTTGCTTCAAACGAACAAAATGCACAAATTACAAATGATGGACTCTACCTTTAATCACTTCGTCAATCAACTCAAACAGCTCAGTTAAAAAAAGAAAATAAGTGGAAGTAAAAAGGGGGGAAAAAACAGCTGGGGGTGGGGGGGATGTCATCTTGCAGTGATGTTTTGTATTGTATTGTAAAATGTCTGTTTATCATCTGTGTAATTCCTATTTTATTTAAGTTTATTTAAATGAATTTTTTTAACATTCTTACATTGTAGGGCCTACTCCTCAGTTCTCACTGAGTGGATCACCCAGGATAAATAAGAAATAAATCTATAAATAAATAAACTTAGGTAAAGATGACAAACTGACCTGGCAATTTGTGCACAAGAATGAAGTGATCATCTTTTTTCACATTGTGGCATTTGTTATTTCAAAATCAATTTTTAATGCTGGTCAGAACGTACATGAAAACAGTTTCGGGAAATCCCTTTTTCTAGATGTCAGTTTCGTTTCTCATGAATATCAAAAGTTTTTATTCGCAGTGCCATTTCTTAACCCTTTTCTAGATGTAAGCATACATTCACTCTGTGCCAAGTTGTCCTTTCAGTCAAAATCAATCAAGTGACTGTTTCCAACGGTTAAGAGTTCAGCCTACGCAAAGCAGGATCAACTGGCTGTAATCATTGGTAACTTGATACAGCTGTGCTTTGACTGTAGGGTGATCCAGCTGTGCCTACCGGTACTTCGTGCCTGCTTTTGTCTGTTGGCTGAATTTGACTAGTCACAGTGCTTGCTTGAAATTTGATAAATACCTTTGGTTAATAGCCTGTGTAAAAGGCATGGCAGGTGAAGAGGATTGACTTTTTGACTGTCTTTGACTGTACAGATAGGGGGGGGGGGGGGGGGGAATTGTCATTTTGCAGATTGATGTGACACTGTAGATTACTGTTCAGTTCTACCCCTCCCCCTCCCACGTTCCCCCCTCCCAATGTGGGGTTCAAAAGAAAAAAAACCAAAAAATGAAGGTAGCTAAAAAACCCTCCCAAATACAGCAGTCTACCTGATGTACATGTACGTATGCATGTGCACATTGTACCATAAATGTGCTTGCTGCACAGTTGAGATATTGGGAGTGCGGCTGTACAATGTAGTTCAAAAATGCCCAGAAAATTGGGGTTAGTACCGGTACAGACCGTTTTAAGTTGCATGCAAAGTGCATGGCAAAAGAGCAACCCAGAAAAAAAGGCTTCATCAGGGGGTTGAAAACAGTCAAAAAAGAAAACTGTAGGTTTTTTTTTTCAGTTGAAATTATAGTGCCTACATTTTAGAATTAATAATGTTCAAAGAGCATGAGTGCAGAAGAACTTTGAGAAAAGTTTGGCCTAAATTATGAATAAAGTTTATATTTCAACTCAATCTTTTTTTTCTCTCTCTTTCCCTCTCTTTCTTCTTCCTTGTAAGTGCAGCCTTTAAATGGCTGAAGATAAGTGCACTGCCAGAAACAGAGGCAAAAACGAGGCAAACCCCTTCTCTTAGAGATAAGGGTTCTTTTACATGCATTACACAACACACGGGACAGGCGGCTTTACCTCCCAACTGAAGGACAAAGCAATAATGGTTAAGTGTCTTGCTTAAGGACACAAGCGTCAAGACCGGGACTCGAACCCACACTCTGCTGATCAGAAACACCAGAGCTTGAGTCAGGTGTTCTTAAGTGCTTGGACATGACACTCCACAAAAGTTTCTCTCGCAAAAGAAAAAGACTGGAAAAGTTGCCTAACGTGTGCTTTGATTTACATATTTGTGAGCATCCCTCCCCCCCTCCTAACTTAACATGCTTAATGCCCACTTTCCAGTCTTCGGGGGTTTGTTGAATTTATTAGAATTCACATTTTTGGGTTTCCAATTTAATGTACTGGTACAAATGTACATTGTGGGCCTACATTTCAATACGGTAAATGTCTTTCTACACATACATGTACTTTCAATGTATGTTTTTAAAACAGAGCAAGCAGAGTACCAGTTTAATTGGTGATCAGATATCATGTGTATTAAGTTAACTCCATATGATATTGCATGATCAGTACGTTTGTATTGTAACGTTATAATATAAGGTGTACTGTCTCAATGAACCATAGGTTTGTACATCTGCGTGTTCATTGGTCAAATTAAAAGCCCACCCCCTTGGGTCTTCGCCAAGTTTGTGGGTGGAGCCAAAAACTGCCATACTTTATACACACGTGCAGTTAAGCAATGGCAAAAATGTTGGCACCGGATCAACTGGGTCTGAGTTTCTAGAAGGTTCGATCCGTTCCTCTTCCCGGATGGACCTTGCCCTGTTGTTCCTCTTCAGTGAACTTTCGATACCTACAAGGAAGCCTAAACCACCCCTGCACATCCTTGTTGGTTATCTTTTCTTTGATAACAACAGTGTCAGGCATCCTGTTTATCGAAGCCTTGAGTTTATACCTCCCTCCCCCCCTCAATTTTTTTTTTTTTCAGTACCTGGGAAACTAAGGTAGCTCTCTCGATGCCATATTTGGGGATAATTTGGTCCTGAGTTGTGCAGCCAGCTAGACGAGGAAGCAGGATGGACATGTGACAAAGTTGTTTTTTTTTCTTCATACAAATCTAGAACAAAATCAGAATCAAATGTACAATTTGGAAAGAAAACCTATTCAGTTTGTTCTCTTTTTCTACCCCACCACCCCCCCCCTTCCCCAAGTTAATAAGAAAAGAAATTGTGACAAAGCTGTCAGAATCTTGCCATGGCAGTGGATTGGATGTTCTAGTCTCTACATGTACCAAACTGGTATTCCCTTTGTCTGTTAATATTCCCGCCACCTCAAAGAGTAAATGAACTAAGACCCAGGTTCGAATCCTACTAAGGACTGTTAATTGTACCTACATGACTGGGGTTGCGTATAGACCTTATACATGTATATATGTGTCTTTATGACCCAACCCAGAGAATAGATAAACTTTTATAAAACTGTGACCCATGGTCCCACTGACAGGTAGTATTACATGTACTGGTCAAGTTCCTACCTAACTATTGTTTTCCCTACATCCTGACTGTGGACTCATAAAAGTTATCCATCCAACAACAAGGCCCCCCCCCTTCCCTTCATCAACCCCCCCCCCCCCAAAAAAGTCCCAATAAGGCCAAAAAAAAAAAAGTCTCCGGTTTCTGGTATGGAGCTTGCCCCAAAAGTGGTGCGGCGACGCGGCTTTTTTTTTTTTTTTACCTGTTTTTTGTTTTTTTTGGCTTCAAATGTCGGCTGATGACTGCAAATGGTGCCCGACTAAACTTAGTGCAAATAAATGGGAGTCCAGAGAGGCCACATAAATCTTATTCTCGATCATAACCCCATCTAAAAACACGTTAAAATTGTGCAGCAGCAGAATTCCAGTCAAACCAGTGAGTTTGGCGGTTTTGAAACATCATCTTGTATTGAAAAAAAAACGTTTTCATTTTGCCGACGCGCATGGCTACGGCGACGCGCGCGCATACCAGAAACCGGAGACTTTTTTTTTTGGCCTAAGGCAATACATTGCTGTTTAAATATTGGGCTGTGGATTATACTTATTCATCTTAATTCCCCTACCTCAAAATTCACCCCAAAGAGAAAGAGAGAGAAGAGGAAAAAAACAAGAAATGTGGCCAGTTTCAGTCAACAAAAAATTCCCATAGAAATTCATGAAAAAAAATGTGAAACACCCCCCCCCCCCCACCCCCTGCTCTGACTCCAAAACAGTTTTTATTGGTAATAATGTCCGCCTTTGCACAAAATACAGACAGAGCCAGCTTGGTTAGGGGGTATATGTACACTATTCTGTGATATAGTGTTAATTATCGGCAGATTTGAACAGCGCCCCAATTGAAAGTATGGTACGAGCCACCCCACCCACCACCACCTATTGATTTTCAGAGGCCAAGTGTCTGGAGGAAAAAAACCTGTCTACATTTCAGATTTCTTTGCCGATGAAACCCCCCCCCCCTGCGAAAATTCCGGGATCCGCCCCTGCAATGTTGTCAGAACACAACCAAACTGTATAGCCTTTAAGCTGAGGAGGGGTTTGTCCCTCTGTCCCCCCCCCCCCCCCCCCCCCCCCCCCCCCTCATTGCTGTACAATGTAGTAATTCCACAACAGTGAAAAGAAAACTCAGTGCTTAGCGCCATGAAATTGGGTCGAGCGTAACTACATCAAATATAATAATTTGAAACAAAGGGTGAAGGTTTCTGGCCCAGATTGTAGCAGTCCCAGTAAATCCCCTAAAGTTTGTTTTCCACTTTCACCCAGTTTCAACCCGGATCTGTTGGTAGAGTTTGTGATCAGGTCATTGTGCCAAAGGGTGCCAGGATCCAACTTCAATCTCATGATGTCATGTGATGGAAAACTAAACTTGATGTTGAGTTCCTATATACCAAACTTTTTTTCAATCTGAACTAACCCCCAATGCTTTAAATTCTTTTATTTTACCCATTTTGACCCAACACAGAGAATAGATTTAAACAAAATAATGAAACTGTTACCCACGTTTGAATACATATACCAGTAAGGCAGTATGGTCAAGTCCCTTTCTAACTATTGTTTTCCTTACATCCTGACTGTGGACTAATAAAAGTTATCCATGCAAAACCCCCCTTATCCCCTTGCCCCCCCCCCCCCCCCCCGCCCATCACCCCTTCTCTTCCCCCTCCTCTATCCCCCCCCCCCTGCTCTCTCTCCCCCCCCCCCCCCTTTCAATAAAAAAAAATCCTCAAAACAAAACAATCGGGTATTGTTACCCAGGTTCGAATTTCACCAAGTCAATAGATTACTTTTCAAGTATTTGCCTGTGGAGTTAACTTTATTTGTCTTAAAGACCCTACATGTACCTTATTCACCCCAGACGGAGAGAGAGAGAAAAAAAACCCCCAAATCCAGAAATGTCAATAATCAAATCCCTGTTGCTTTCCCTGCATCATGCCCCCCTTCAGCAAATATGACAGAGGTTCGAATCCCACCACAAGGCAGTTAAATTACTCCTCATGCACCTACATGTAGGTCTATGTGTAACATTCCTGTGGATTTCTCTGTTTCCCAGTTTCTGTGTGTATGTCTGATGTCCCCCCCCCCCCACCCTCCTCCCCCACTTTCACTGCCTTTCATCCATCTGGCAGAAAGGGCAACTGTATGATGAGTTGTACATGTCTCCTGAAATTCTTTTAATGTGTACAAAAATGTATGGTGCATGCTTATGAAAATATGGAGGGGTGTAGTTTTAGAAACATGCTTGGGGACATCTTGCATACATGCACATGTTTTCTGGCATGATTGGTTTTCGAAGGGCTTTGTCTCTGAAATGCTGGACATTACTTTCCATCCTCTGGTATAGCACAGGAATTTCATGAACTCTTTTTCCTAAAGGATTTAAACAAATTCCTTTGTTGTATTTTTAAGAGAGCTACTTTTAAGCTGCATGTATTTTCATCATCTTTTTCTTTTTTGCTTGTGAGTTCACACTTTCTTGTCCCATGATCCTTTTTTGTGAGTTTACGTAAAGCGTTGCACAGAAACATCAATTTGCTGATCTCAGCTCATCACTGTGGTTCCCAGTAAATGCACCTGTACAGCTCAGATTGCCACCACCCCAGGGATCTGGTAAAGTTTGCAGACCCTGGTCCCACCCTACTAACAGGTGCCACATCTGACAATCTAATTGATCATGTTGTTTTTCTCCTTTTTTTCTCATCAGAACTGGCCTAGATAGACGCTGTTTCCAGTAAACAGGTGAATTCCAAAATTTAGTACTTTCTTGACTTTCACTCACTTGGAGCCAATTGCAGGGAGGGGATCTTGTTACATTTTCAGAAGGGCACACTCAGTGCTTTAAATGATGAAAAGCTCAGTTTGCTTTGCTGCAATTCTAAGCAGGGTTTGAAGGAGGGGGGAGGGGTTGGGAAAGGGGACATAAGCCTCAAGGCAAAAAAAATGGACTTCTATTATTTAAATCCTTTTAACCCTATAACCTATCAAACTCCATCAAAGTCCATCTCCCCTTTGGGGGGATTTGGCAGACCAGCCATCTGTACCAAGTTCATCAAAATCCACTTGAAGTAGTGGTGGTCTTGTGGTGGATTTCAGCGGATTTGGTCCTGAAGCATTAACCAGGGTCAGTGATGGATTTTGATGGACTTGGTCCAGTACATAGTAAAAGACAGTAGGGAGTTAGGGTTAAAGGCCCCCCCCCCCCCCCCTTGCCGTTTAAAAAGGACACCTTCCCACATACGGTACACTGTCACCAGCTGCAATTCTAAGCAGGGTTTGAAGGAGGGGGGTGGTGAGTTTGTTTCTGCATTCAATAGGAGACGTTCAACAATAGAGGACAATAGGGTCCCCAATTCCCGAAGGTCCCCAATTTGGCGATGTGTACAAAACATAAGGGAGGTCTTCCTAAAAAGTTAAAGTACAAACAAAAGAGGGACAATAGGGGGTCCCCGATTGCAGGCAAATACACACTTGTGTGGGTGGGCAAGGGGACACAGGCCTCAAGGCAAAAAGTGGACAAGTTTCTGTCATTGAAATCCCATTAAAGCCCCCCCCCCCCCTTGCCATCAGAAAAGGGCACTACCCCACACTGTCACCAGCTACTGTCGTCAGAACACAACCAAACTGTACAATGTACAATGTATAGCCCTCCAGCTGTGGAGGGGTGTGTCCCTCTGCCCCCTTCATCCCAAAGTTATTCCACAACAGTGAAGAGAAACTGTGTGCCTGCATAGTGTACATGTGCAGTATGCACTTGTAGAATGTAGCAACGCCAGGACATTGGGTCCAGTGCAACATCAAATGTGACCATTTAAAAAAACAGGATGAAGGTTTCTGGCCCAGATTGTAGCTGTCCCAGTAAATCCCCTAAAGTTTGTTTTCCACTTTCACCCAGTTTCAACCCGGATCTGTTGGTAGAGTTTGTGATCAGGTCATCGTACCAAAGGGTGCCAGGATCCAACTTCAATCTCGTGATGTCATGTGATGGAAAACTAAACCTGATGTTGAGTTACTACATGTGTGTATACCAAACTGTCGAGTCCCTTCCTAACTATTGTTTTCCCTTCATCCTGACTGTGGACTCATGAAAGTTATCAATCAAAGACACCCTCCCCCTTCACCCCCCCTCCCTAACCCCTTCAATAAACAAAAATCTCAGTAACAAAAAATCTGGTAATATGGCCCAGGTTCGACTTTCAGCAAGGCATAACTATTGGGCTGTGGAGTTTACTGTATTTGTCTTAGATCCCATACCTCATTCACCCCAGAGAGAGAGAGAGAAAAAACCCATCAACCCAGAAATGTGGCCAATAATCGAATCCCTCTTTCCCCCTTCAGCCTGAGGGAATAGAAATTTAATAGGAAACTGTGTGCCAGGTTCGAATCCCACTATGAGGCCATTAAATGACTCCCCATGAGCCTGCCCAACATTCCCTGAAGAGTTTTAAACAGATTCCTATAAGCAGGCATGAGATTTTTTCAGACTTTTGTCTGAATCATAGAGATACCGATATAAAGAAATGCATTTTTTTCCCAGATCTTTAATCCAATTTTCAGACCTTTTTAAAAGTCTGAACTACATGTAATTTTAAGCTATGTTTATCATTATTTATTTTTGTTGCTTGTTTAAGTTCTCCTTCTTTTGATCATCTGTCTGAGCTCATATGAAGCATATTGCACAGAAACATCAATTTGCTGATCTCAGCTCATCGCTGTGGTTCCCAGTAAATTTCAACAGCTTATACTCCTGGCCCACCCCAGGGATATGGTAAAGATTGCAGGCAAGACCCTGGTCTCACCCTACTAACAGGTACCACATCTGACATCCTGATTGATCATGTTGTTTTTCTCCTTTTTTTCTCATCAGAACCGGCCTAGATAGACGCTGTTTCCAGTAAACAGGTGAATTTTAAAGCTTATAGTTGTTTTTTGACTTTCACCAACTTGGACCCACCCAATCTTGTTACATTAAGGCCTCTCGTAAACACCCCTCCCCCCCCCAAAAAAAAAGTTTATAAATTTTGCTTTGTTCAAAGATGCCAAACTGTCACAATTCACAGTTTCTAGTGAATAACTGAAAAATGTGACATACAGCAAAACAAGTCTGAAGTTTCCAATCATGTACCCCAAAACCTCCTTGCCCATTACTCCCTGTAGACTGTACTGCCCCAAACTGCCGGAGCACTCTTTGTTTTTCCAACTTCTCTGTTAGAGAACAAATACAAGTGCTAATGGGTTTCAACCCTTCAATACATTGCAGCACACTTTGCCCGCTCTTGGAGGTTGGTATCATTGTGTTAATAATTTGGGCGAATTTGCCTCTGTTTAGCACTGTCTTATTTAGCTGGGCTCCCTGCTAACAGTCTCTGTGGAATCCTTGATCTCTGTGAGATAGCTGCAGGGGCCCAGTTTGCAGGGGAGGGGTGATGGGAGGGGATGGGAGTGGGAAGGAAGGAGGGCTTCATTAGAATGGCAGACTTGATCAGTGTGCTTTAAATGGTAGAAAGCTCATTTGGCTTTGCCGCAATTCTAAGCTGGGTTTGAAGGGGGGGGGGGGGGGGGCAAGGGGACCCAGTATTCTGAAGCTCATCATTAAACTCCCATTACAGTTTCAAACAGTTCGAGGTTGAAGGTTCCTGGCCCAGATTGTAGCTGTTTCCTGCAAATCACCGAAGCTCATTTTCCACTTTCACCCAGTTTCAACCCTGGATATCTGTTGGAAGAGTTTGTGATCAGGCCACCATACCAAAGGGTACCAGGATCCAACTTCAATTGTATTCAAATATGCTTGATATCATGTGATGGAAAACTTTACTTGATGTTGAGTTCCTATACCGACTATTTGTTTTTGTTTTTCTTTGGGGGGGGGGGAGGTTTGAAATTCAAGAGGGTTTGAATAAGCTTTTTTTAAATTTCATTTCATGTCGGTACCATGTACAATACATGTGTATGTATTTCATTTTGACTGCCAGGCAAAATCAATCGGATTCCCCTATCACAGCTTGATCAGGCCTCCAGGCCCAAGTCCATCATACTCCATCAATATTCAGTCTAACCACGCCTGTAGGACCAAAATTCCCCCAAATCCACCAAAATGGGGGGATGGATTTTGATGGAGTTGGGGAGGTTAGGGTTTAAAGAAATGACGGGAGAAGTTACCGGGACATCACAAGGGGTCTGTATTTGCCAGGTACATGTACTTGTAACCTCCGCTGCAGCAAATCTACAATACAACTTTTCCATTGGCACATGTCTTTCTCAACAGGCGTTTTACAGGTAGTTCTATCAGGGCCATTCATTCGAACAATCCACTTCTGGCAATGTTTCATATCAAGTGGATGCTTGTCATTAAGAAACCAGAGCTGATTATGTGTAGAATTAGACACCTGAAATGAAAAGAAATAAAGAACAAAATCTGATAAAAAAACAAACCCCCAAAACCAGTTACATGTTGTTGCTTTATCAGATTGGACTGTTTCCAGTGAATTTTCACTTACAGCTCAGTTTCCCCCACCATAGGGATGTGGTATACTTGGCAGACAAACCCAGGTTCCAACACGTACTGGTACCAAATCTGAAACCCTAATTTATCATGTTGTTGTTTTTCTCCTTTTTTTTCCTTCTCTGTATCAGAACTGGCCTACTATAGACGCTGTGTCAGTAAAGAGGTAAATTTCTCATCTTATTCATTTTTTGGACTTCAACCACTTAGACTCATAGGATCGTGTTACATTAAGGACTTATGTAACACCCCTCCCCCCCCCCCCAAAAAAAAATAATAATTAAAAACAAGTTGATAAATGTGGCTTTGTCTGAACATACCAAACTGTCACAATTTGCAGTTGTTTCTAGTGAATTACTGAAAAATGTGGCAAGCTAAAAAAAAGTCTGAAGTTGACAATCCTGTGCCCCCTCAAAACCTCCCTGCCCGTTACTCCCTGTACCGCCCCAATCTTCCCGAGCACTCTTTGTCTTTTCTGACTTAAAAGTAAAAAATACAAGTGCTAAGCCAAAAAAATAAAAGTTCTGCTTCTGATTACATGGCATCCGAAAATTGGGTAGGTACATGTAGGTAGGGAATTTTTTTCGGCCAATTTTTTTTGTGTACGATCACATGGAGGCGTCTGCGTGTAGTCATGGGTAAAAGATAGAAATTGATGGTTTGGGGTGATTTTTCTCATTTTTTCCATTAAAAAATTAGAGAAGGGGCTGTCAGATTAGGGTAGGTAGGGAAACCGGAAGCAGAACTATTTTTTTGGCCTTATGCTGATTATGATGGGTTTAACCTTCAACACACTTTGCCCACTCTTGGAGACTGCTATCATTTTGTTACTAAAGTACTTGTAGTGTGCACTTGACCACTGTTAGCATTGTAGATGTAGCTGGGCGCACTGCTAACAGTCTCGTCCGTGGAATCCTTGGTGTCTGTGAGACAGCTGCAGGGGTCCAGTTTGCAGGGGGATCCGGAGGAGGGGGGGAGGAAGGGGGAGGGAAGGGGAAAGGGAGGGCTGCATTTTTCAGAAGGGCGCAATCAGTGTGCTTTAAATGATGGAAAGTTCATTATTGCCACAATTCTCAGCAGGGTTTGAAGGAAGGATTGGGAGGGGGGGGGGGCAAAGGGACTCGGGGCTCATGGCAATAAATGGGCTTGTCGCTTTAAACCCGTTAAAGTTTAAAACAGATGGAGGATGAAGGTTTCTGGCCCAGATTGTAGCTGTTCCAGTAAATCTGTGAAGCATGTTTTCCACTTTCACCCAGTTTCAACCCTGGGGATCTGTTGGTAGAGTTTGTGATCAGGTCACCGTACCAAAGGGTACCAGGATCCAACTTCAATTGTATTCAAAGATGCTTGATATCATGTGATGGAAAACTAAACTTGATGTTGAGCTCATCTACTGACTGTTTCGGGGTTTTTTTTGGGGGGGGGGGCAGTTTGAATTCAAGAGGGTTTGAATAATGTAGCTTGGCGCACTGCTAACAGTCTCATATTTCATTTTGTTCTTAATTTTTTTTTAATATTTGAAACTTCATGTTGGCACAAATGCATTTCTTCTTGATTCATGGATGCGGTTGCCATAGAGACAGTCAAAGTAAAGGAAAAAACTGATGAATGAGTTCTACACAAGTGCAACACAGCTCTCAATTCGGTACTCACGCTCGTCATTTTCCTCAAAATTAATGGGTGTGATGCAGCAATTGTTGCGTTGCTTATTTACATGTAGTCAGAAAGTTGAAATTCTAGGGCCAATGATTTCCAGCTTCACACAGGGAAATGGATGAAACTGACAGAATCCCCCCTTGAAAAAGAACTTGGCATTATAATATCAATCCTTTAGTGTGTCTGCTCAAAATTTGCTGTTGAAATGCCAATTTCAACCCCCCCCCCCCCCCCCCCCGGCAGATTTTGTTGACAATTTTTTTTGTCAGCAATGATTTGAAGTGTTTATAGAGTTCTTCTGACATCAATCCCAACAAAGAAAACCCGCTCAACAACCATTACAATGCGCCGTGAAATTGTCCATATAATAATATAGTATACATAATAATGGTCAGTTTTGAAGAGCGCCCCATTTGGAAGATTGGATACATGTTGTTGCTTTATCAGATTGGACTGTTTCCAGTGAATTTCTACCTACAGCTCAGTTTCCTTCACCGTAGGGATGTGGTATAGTTGGCAGACAAACCCTGGTACCAACACGTACCGGTACCAAATCTGAAAACCTAATTTATCATGTTGTTGTTTTTCTCCTTTTTTTCCTTCTCTGTATCAGAACTGGCATGCTATAGACGCTGTGTCAGTAAAGAGGTAAATTTCTCATCTTATTCATTTTTTTTGACTTCATCCACTTAGACTCATAGGATCGTGTTACATTAAGGACTTGTGTAATCCTCCCCCCCCCCCCCGAAAAAAAATTAAAAACGAAACAAGTTCATAAATGTTGCTTTGTCTGAACATACCAAACTGTCACAATTTGCAGTTGTTTCTAGTGAATTACTGAAAAATGTGGCAAGCTAAAAAAGTCTGAAGTTGACAATCCTGTACCCCCTCGAAACCTCCCTGCCCATTACTCCCTGTACCGCCCCAATCTTCCCGAGCACTCTTTGTCTTTTCTGACTTAAAAGTAAAAAAATACAAGTGCTAAGCCAAAAACACTGCTTCTGATTACATGGCATTCGAAAATTGGGTAGGTATATGTAGGTAGGGAATTTTTTTTGGCCATTTTTTTGTGTATGATCACATGGAGGCGTCTACGTGTAGTCATGGGTAAAAGATAGAAATTGACGGTTTGGGGTGTTTTTTCTCATTTTTTCCATTAAAAAAGTAGAGAAGGGGCTGTCAGATTAGGGTAGGTAGGGAAACCGGAAGCAGAACTATTTTTTGGCCTTATGCTGATTATGATGGATTTAACCTTCAACACACTTTGCCCACTCTTGGAGACTGCTATCATTTTGTTACTAAAGTACTTGTAGTGTGCACTTTACCACTGTTAGCATTGTAGATGTAGCTGGGCGCACTGCTAACAGTCTCATCCGTGGAATCCTTGGTGTCTGTGAGACGGCTGCAGGGGTCCAGTTTGCAGGGGGGAGGAGGGGGGGGGGGGAGGAAGGGGGTGGGAAGGGGAAAGGGAGGGCTTCATTTTTCAGATGGGCACAATCAGTGTGCTTTAAATGATGGAAAGTTCATTATTGCCGCAATTCTCAGCAGGGTTTGAAGGAAGGATTGGGAGGGGGGGGGGGGGGGGGGCAAAGGGACTCGGGGCTCATGGCAATAAATGGGCTTGTCGCTTTAAACCCGTTACAGTTTAAAACAGATGGAGGATGAAGGTTTCTGGCCCAGATTGTAGCTGTTCCAGTAAATCTGTGAAGCTTGTTTTCCACTCTCACCCAGTTTCAACCCTGGGGATCTGTTGGTAGAGTTTGTGATCAGGTCACCGTACCAAAGGGTACCAGGATCCAACTTCAATTGTATTCAAAGATGCTTGATATCATGTGATGGAAAACTAAACTTGATGTTGAGTTCGTCTACTGACTGTTTTGGGGTTTGGGTTTTTTTGGGGGGGGGGGGGCAGTTTGAATTCAAGAGGGTTTGAATAATAATTCATGTTGTTCTTAATTTTTTTTAATATTTGAAACTTCATGTTGGCACAAATACATTTCTTCTTGATTCATGGATGCGGTTGCCATAGAGACAGCCAAAGTAAAGGAAAAAACTGATGAATGAGTTCTACACAAGTGCAACACAGCTCTCATTTCGGTACTCACGCTCGTCATTTTCCTCAAAATTAATGGGGGTGATGCAGCAATTGTTGCGTTGCTTATGTAGTCAGAAAATTGAAATTCTAGGGCCAATGATTTCCAGGTTCAAACAGGGAAATGGATGAAACTGAGAGAATTCCCCCTTGAAAAAGAACTGGGCATTATAATATCAATCCTTTAGTGTGTCTGCTCAAAATTTGCTGTTGAAATGCCAAGTTTATTAACAACTATGTTTTTTTTTACTACTTTAGTTGATATCCATTCATGTTAAGATGAAATAAATAACACAGACAACAACAAAAACAAACTTAGCACTGTATGTTTCACTGACTGATGCAGAACTTGTACATTTTTTGGATTGATCCTGTCAGAAAAAGAAAGAAATAATTTCATTAGAGATTTACCTGTGCATGTATGTGCGTATTTTGTTTGTACAAAAAAATCTAGGGGTTGGTGAATTACAATCCGAGCACAGGGGAGAACAAACATTTTTTTTTACTCGAGAGATCATTTTGTTGAAAATGGTACTCAGTTGTGAGTTTGTGTGCTTAGTCTATGGGTGAGTGTTATCTTATGGGGACAAAGGGAAAGACAATGCCTTGTTCTCGATTGTCAGGGGGGGGGGGCGGATGTAGAGTATTACAATCCCAGAACCCCATTTTAATTGGCACACCCCTGCATCCCTCGATTGATGTCCATATTATTATCATAAAAACAAAGCCATATCGCTTGGAGGATGATATTAATGGAGCCAGCATAAAAAATATTACGTAGGGGGCTTACATTTTACAGAAGGATGAAAATAATTGAGGAAAATAGAATTACCAGAAGCAGTGTATAAGGACTTCAGGACATGTATGACATGTATGAGGACTTGAGCATGGAATGTTCTCGGGGGTGGAGGATGGGCCACCTGCTGGGTGTGGGGGGGGGGGGGGGGGGGGGGCGGGGGAATCAACTTCGCGGATTATGAGTGAGAAAATACTCCCATGTTTTTTTTGGTCTTAATTATCCTTCTCTGAGGGAAGGGGGTCTGATTGATTGAGTTTAAAGCCTTCACACAAATCTGCCCCCATCCCTGCTGTATATCAACACACATTAAACGTCTCATTTTAGTACCACACCCCGTTGATCGATAGCACTATTTAACACATGGTACATGTACATATCCCAGTTACTGTCCATACCAGGAAAACCCATATGTTGACTGAGATTTTTAATCTTGCACACAAAATGTATGCGTGTATGCTGTGTACATGTATATCTATGTACATACATGTACATGTAGGCCCCCTAAATTAACCCACTGCCTTCAGCCTTCAGGCCTTAAATATATGGCTGTATTTTTGAAAGGCCTTTATAATAAGTTATCATTGTAATTTTATTAGAAAGAGCTCAGTGTTGCTTTCTACAGTTTTGGATTGAACCATTTTTAAAGTCTTAAATTGTTTAATTTTTTTAGGGGGGGGGGTGGACCAACAGTACTTTGGGAAAAGTGGGGGGGGGGGGGGTGTTAGACGCCGTCTGACTACATGTATAGAAAGTGCAGTTCACAGATGTATACATTTATGTACACATACATGTACATACATGCGCATTTACGCTCATTACAATTATGTGCAAGATCTGTGTAAAAAAGGAGATGAGCAATGCATCTTACAGCTGTAAAACCATTGGGGAAAATATAGTCTAGGTACTTTAAATACATGTAGGTTAAAATCTTAACACATTTCTTATTGGGGGGGGGGGGGGGACAACACCATTAGTGTCCCCATCCAGATATTATTGTTTGGAGGGGGGGGGGGGACAAGTCATCCCCCAATTTTGAAATTAACTATGCCACTTTTTTTGCACATGCGTGTGTGATTTGTGTGATGTGAGTACACACACACATAATGAGTAACCAGTTTTCGAACAGACGTGTGATATGTTCTAATTATTGAAAGTCCTGTTTTAATATTACAATTCATACAAAAATGTAGAAGCCTTGACTATTTGCTTTTTGCCATGAAAAAAATGAAAAAAATGGCATATAGCACAATGTACAATGTGCTAAAAAAGTGTTTGGGTTAATTAGACTATTGAACAATTCATACATTCCAGAGATAACAAGAATTGTAATTAAGCTTATGGTGTACACACCCAGATTGATGGAATGGCCCATATTGACCATTCCATGAATGTGAGGTCCAAAAGTGGGTCATTTGTTTGTGTCCCCATATACCTGACCTGTGTACATAATTTGTCATGCAAGTATTTGCCATTAAAATTGACTTCAAACTATTTTCTATTTGTTAGGCGGGACTTTTTTTTTACGTAATCACTCATGGAGGTTTAAAGAAAGTGTCCTGAATTTACAAAGTCTTACATCAGATGTACCAGGACACAATAAAACGGTCCGAAATTTATGAACTGACACATGCGTAGGCGCATGTCCGAATTATTGGCTACGGCTTGAAATCCCCCCCCCCCCCCTTGAGTCTATGGGAAGTGGCTGCAGCGGCTATCATAGACTTGTGTGTGTCTAATATGATCAAGCCGTAGCCAAGTAATTCTGACACGGCCCTACTGTAGTGTATACATTGTATACGTACGTGTATACACTTTACATGTAGGTACACATGTACACATATTTATGTGCACACAATGAAGTTACCAGTTACAATTAGTTTAAGATTTGACTGTTGAGGGCAGTGTTTTCAAGCCGTATATGATCAAGCCGTAGCCAAGTAATTCTGACAATGCCCTACTGTAGTGTATACATTGTATACGTACGTGTATACACTTTAGGTACACATGTACACATATTTATGTGCACACAATGAAGTTACCAGTTACAATTAGTTTAAGATTTGACTGTTGAGGGCAGTGTTTTCAAGCCGTATATGATCAAGCCATAGCCAAGTAATTCTGACAATGCCCTACTGTAGTGTATACATTGTATACGTACGTGTATACACTTTAGGTACACATGTACACATATTTATGTGCACACAATGAAGTTACCAGTTACAGTTAAGATTTTAAGATTTGACTGTTGAGGGCAGTGTTTTCATTTAAGTGGAGATAGAAGTCAAGATCCTTTACTGATCATGTGCACATACTATGTGCATGTACAGCCACAGCTGGTATGAGAGCCAAGGTTTGGCAATTACACACGAGTCTATGACAAGTGACTGCCGCTACCATGGACTTGTGTGTAATATCAAGCCAAAGCCAAGTAATTCAGGCGACCCTACATCGTGTATACAGTGTACATGCATATACTTTTTCAGATACAAGTGTACACACGTGTACATGTGCACACAATTACAATTACATGTAGTTTAAGATTCGACTGTTGAGGGCAGTGTTTCATTTAAGTGGAGAAGTCGAGATCCTTGAGAGAACATGTGCATATGCGGCCATATCTGGTATGAGAGCCAAGGTTTGGAAAATGGCAATGAATAAAGCATTTTACCCCATTTCTTCTTTTTTCCCTGTTTTTTTTTTAACACTTAGGAGCTTTAAATTCATTAGAAAGACGAACTGGGTTGTATCCTACAATTGTAAAGGTGGTAACGATGATTTGGTGATTAAATTGCAATAGTTTTGATTGATGGATTGTTTTCTTTATTTCATTTTCCAGAATTTTGTTGGGGTGAGTGGTGAATGTCTGCAGGCTGCTGAAGGGAAAATTTCTCTGGAACTTCAAGAATTATATTTTTCTTTATTTATAAAGCACACCTATTCTACATTATTGTTGCTCAAGGTGCTACATCATTATTGGCCATTGGGCCAATGAAAAATTCCAAAGTCAATCTCAGCTCCCTGGGGAGTATACAGCTCGATGCTGCCATTTTGGCTCAAAGTAGCTGAAATCAACCACAATAGCCATCTCTGCCCTCACAGGTACCCATTTACTCCTGGGTGGGTAGAAGCAATGAGTGACAAAGTGTCTACCATGGTCACACACACCATAACCCTAGGCTGGTCTCGAACCCACAACCTGCAGACCAGGAATTAAGTACGGCACTCCACAGAAAAGAAAAGACAATGAAAGGATGTCTCGGATTTGGACTCTGTGCACAAACTATAGAGGGCGCTTTGCGACCACAATTTCAGTGGGAGCAACACATCAAGTGTACTTAACTGGTTCAGCCGAAAATGGCGAAGTACACACGACTTATTGTATCTGATGTGCACAAGCCCAACGCGTCAGGCCTCAAACTGAAGGGGGGGGGGGCGGAGTGGGAGTTGTCCCTAGGGCTGTCCATTTTTACATAATTTAGTAAGTTGATTATTTGAAGCAAGTTTTACATGTGCCTCACGCCATGTCGGTCGACTCTATTATAGGCCACGAAGTGTTTTGCAGCATTATAACTGTCGAGGGCTTTAACCTCCTAAGAGGATGGGAGCAATGAAACGAAGTCAACAAAATGTGGCATCAGAGAAAACGCTGCATCTTTACTATTAAAATAACATCGCAATTGCGTGTAAACTGCGTTGTTCGCTGTTTTTTTTTTCTCTCTCTTTGTTTAAAATATTTGAGCCGGCAAAACTTTATTTGAATATTCAGTTGATTATTCATTTGAATAATCAGTATACATGTATTCGCGACAGCCCCAGTTGTAGTATCTTTCTCATAACCTGACTTGACTGTGTGGCAGATTTTGTGCTTGTATCATCAAAGGCACAATTCCCCCAGATTTCCCCGATGTGCCCTGCTATGTAGGCAACTACATTAGGGTCACTTTCATGGCAATATATATGTTTTTTAATCTAACAGGCCCTTCGCGGAAACAATTTATATTAAGCAGGAAGCAGGAATTTTAATTTGTTTTGTGGCGCCAAGTGCTCCGACTCCAAAGTGGCATAACCATGATAACGTGTTAAAATGATTCTGTGTACATGTAATTTCATGTCGTGCTTTTTGGCAAATGTTTGGAGAAATAAAAATGATTGACTGATTTCAGAAATGGCCTCCTAAAACTGATTTTTTTTTTCATTGTCTTAATGTGTTTATGAAGTTTTTTGGGGTCAAATTCTGTCACTTATTGGACCAAAAAAAAGTCTTCGGTTTCTGGTATGGAGCTTGTCCCAAAAGTGGTGTGGCGACGCAGGTTTTTGTTTTTTTGCGCCCTATTTTCTTTCCTTCAAATGTCGGTTGATGTTGCAAGTGACAGTTCGATCCCCGTAAAACTCTTTAAAAAAAATATCCGTCCAGGTGGAGCTTGAGGAGACCTCAGTAAGGCCATAAAGCTTGAGAATTCTGCACCCACTTAAGATCTTGACCGACGCAAGCATTCTTCAGGAAATTTGGATCGTCAAGACAAAAATTTTGCCGACGCGCATGGCTGCGGCGATGCGCGCGCAGACCAGAAACTGGAGACTTTTGGGGGGGGGGGGGGGGCCTTTACTTTAGTAACTAATTAAAACTGTAAATCTCCTGCAGGTGAACTTGACCAAAAAAAAGAACTTAACACTTGCAAACAAGTCGAATTCTCAAAAATGTAGTTGATAAATTTATTGGAAATGACACCTCCGACTAAAAAATTAAGTCAAGATTGGACTACATGTAAAAATATTCTGTCTTTGACATGAAAAATAAATGAATTCAAAAGGGCATAAATGTTCTTTTCATAATTCCTCTCCGTTTTCCCAAGCAGTAAACCTCGGATGCAGAGGGAAACAAATTTTGTAAGAAATTGGTAAACTTTTTTTTTTTTATTGCAAAACGGCATAAAACACTCCCGGCATCAACTTTTTTTTTTTAATTTATTTATTGCAGATCAGTAGTCTCTTCTTCAAAATTCTGGCACAAAAATATGATCTTGCCGATAAATGTCTATTTGGAAAAACTTGAAACTAGCTATGGATCAATAAAATAGAACAGATCTAGCCAGAGCTTTTTATTCACAAGATGCTATACACCCACATGCATACTGCTGGGATAGAAAACTGAAACGCTTTTATATGTTGGACTGATCTGGGCTACTATGATGGAGGCCCCCTTCAATGGTGAAAGCATTGTGCCAGCTATTGTTCAGATAATCCATCAGGGGGCTGTTACTTTGTAGGATAGCATGCACAATAGTTTCTCCATTGAAGGGGGCCTCATCTCATGAGTGTACTGTAAAGCCCGGTTCATACTCGGCGCGAACGCGAACTTGTGACGTCATGGCAAGTATTCGGGCTACGAATTCGTAAAAGTTGAACATATTTCAACTCGGTCGAATTTCGCAGCGAATGTTTCCTGACGTCAAATTCGCATTCGCATGCAGTATGAACTGGGCTTTAAGTGGTGCTTATTATAGCGTTCTATACCAGAGGTCTCAAAGCGCTTCACAATTATTACCCCTGTTCATCAGGCCATCAGACCAGTGTTTTTTTTGCAGCACTTTGAGATCAGCGCAATCTGGTCTCTACCTTCACAGGTGCCAATTTATACTCCTGGGAGGATAGAGGCAAGTGTAGTAAAGTGTCTTGCCCAAGAACACAGCACCATGTTCCCCATCATGAGTTGAACACCATAACCATATAGGGCCACAGCACTCCACAAATCAGTGTACGGTGATCACGTGCCCAGAATTTGTCGATAAGTCATGCCCTTATTGTTCAGGCTTGCTCGGGTTCAGCAATAACTGCTCGGCATTTCGTTTCCTGAAGCTGTTGGCATAGGATTGAGTTGGCTTTACTTCACGTCTTTGTTCCCTTTAAACCTGTCTGCAAGATCCAAGATGCTACGTAGCCTCGGCTTGGGGATGCTTCGATCACTGACTGGATCGGTACGCTCCGACAACGAGGCGGGCTCTGTCGAATGACCGGCAGCCAAGGATTCAAACTGCTGCAGCATGTTCTCGAGGGACGCATCGGTCTCGCCCTTGTGCATTCCAAACGCGTCTCCGTTTGGCTGAGACTGTTGCCACGGCGACTGCGAGCTTACGTCATCACTCTGTGATTCCTGTTTGACATCTCCTCCTGCCCGCGTACATTTTCTGGAATTTTTGTTCCTAGGTGCACTCCTGGGGCGATCGGCCTTTCCACTGGCTTCTGCATTCCGGTGTGGTTTTCGGCTGCTGTTTTTGCCCTCCCTACCATTCGTGTTCACTTTGTTATTGTCGCATTCGTCCAGTTGTGGGCTCTCCAATTGTTGGGACTCCTTAGGACGAGATTCTCGCACTTTTGAAGAATGATTGTGGGCACCCTCTCTTGGAGCTGAATAGCAAGAAATTTCAAGAAATAAAAGCAGATATGTGCTGGTACCTTCTCTTCTTTCCCAAAACTAATGCAACTGCATAGAAAACCGCATTTTCTACTATGAGCTTTTGAAGTAAATGTTAAAGAAATTGTCCATTTTAACCCTTAACCAGTTCACGCTGGGAATATTTTAACGAGAACAGAACGAGGCGCAGGATTGCTTTTCACTCGACCTCAATGCCAGGCAGGCTGAAGCCATCACCCTCGGGCAGCACAGACATATTTCCGGCCTCGCTTGCTGCGAGCGGGCACTGACCGATATTTCCGGCCTCGCTCCCTGCGTGTTTCTCCGTCATGCGTCCCAAATACCACAAAATCTTTGCGTGTATACAGGTATACAGATCATCCCGCTCGAGCTGGTTAAATGGCTGAGGTCGGGATGGGGTGGGGGGGGGGGGGGGATGGGGAGCAAACTAGCTCCTTGCATGCCCCACCCATCCTGTGTATTTGTTTTTGATAAAATCGTCACACATTGGGATAAAATCGTCACACATTTCTTCGTCATGCGTCCCAAATACCACAAAATCTTTGCGTGTATACAGATCATCCCGCTCGAACTGGTTAAATGGCTGAGGTCGGGATGGGGTGGGGGGGGGGGGATGGGGAGCAAACTAGCTCCTTGCATGCCCCCACCCATCCCGTGTATTTGTTTTTGATAAAATTGTCACACATTGGGATGAATCGTCACACATTTCTTCGTCATGCGTCCCAAATACCACAAAATCTTTGCGTGTATACAGATCATCCCGCTCGAACTGGTTAAATGGCTGAGGTTGGGATGGTGTGGGGGGGGGGGGGGATGGGGAGCAAACTAGCTCCTTGCATGCCCCCACCCATCCTGTGTATTTGTTTTTGATAAAATCGTCGCACATTGGGACAGGAACCAAATCGAGGACGACCTCGATTAAAAAATGTGTACAAAACCAATGAGAGCTGTTGCATTTTTTTTTTTACAGTTTTTAATCCATGCACATACCCATCTTCTCTTTAGCTGGCTGAACCTTCAGCGTTGTTCCTTTCAGCTTGTATTCGTCATATCTGGCTATTATGTTTTCTGCCTCCTCGTGACTTTTATACCGCAAGAAAAAATGCCTGATCAAAAAAAAGAAAGGTAATATATGTCATGAATATGGCTTATCTGCCAAAATCCCCCAAAATGGGGGGGGGGGGTGGATTTTGATGGGGTTTGGAAGGTTAGGGTTAATCCATGACGAAAGAAAATCCGTAAATGCCATTATTCCTTTCCTTTTTCCAGATTGTCATTTTATCTTCATAATTATGTGTTACACAAATGACTACTCAAATTAACAGATGGTTGATCATAGCAACTGCCACTTTAAAAATGACAAGCGCGAGTGCACAATAAGCTCTGGCCCGGTTCCGGAATGTCTCACTTCATATGCGAAATAGACGCGCACGCGCATCGATCCAGACAAAGGGGCATGTTCCGAACACTTTTGCCAAGAGTGTGTTATGATGGCATAGCATTTGGTCAATTTGTAGTTATATTTTATGGGAAACTTAGGGGGGCTTGTTTTTGGTCAATTTTCCAGGGACAGACCTACTGACCGACCGACCGACCATGAAGTGGCGTACAGAAGCTCCTGCCAAAGCTTAGAAATGTGATTACTTACATGCCACCCCGACTCAATTCTGCTGGTGATGCCACTTCACTGAAGAGTTCTTGGACATCCTGATGAATAAAGTAAAAAGCAACATCCATGTCTGACAGGTGTTTCCAATCACACAGAACCTAATTAATGTATTAAACTTATAAACTTACTTTGTAATCTAATATTGCCATTTTAAGGGCGTTTTGGTGCCCTTTTGGTTTGTATGCTAACACTGGCTAATGCCAATTTCCATATTCATGAGCACAACTGTGATGTCATTCACGGCAGAAACTTCAGTTTCACATCTGCTTCAGCGTAAAAAAGTCACCAGAATTTTAGGGGTTTGCTGTGGTTAGTTTTCTGCTTTCAGTGGTTCATTTTATCGTTTCAGTATATGACAGTAAGACAATGAGAAAAAATTATGTACAAATCTTTTCAATAACCAGAATTCTGGGTTTACAATTTGAAGGAGAAAGCCCTAATCTGAAGAGTGTGTTCCTATAAAAAGCGACGTCACAGCAACAGCTCCCTCACCTGTTGGAAAAACATGAAACATTTTAAATGTTTAGAAAAGTGCCTTTTACAAAGCAATTTACCTAAAAAAGGGATGCCTCATAGTTTTCATACATTTCACAGGAATAGATATTTGCTACAATGTGCTCAGGTGTATAATTCAATTCATGAACTCTTTAAGAATACGCTTTTCTTTTTTTCTTTTACCATTTTCTGTTACCATGATTCTTACCCTAACTCTATGACTCCTTCAATATCCTCTTTGCCAAAGTGGAGGAATTGGAGGATTGCGGTTACATAGCAAAAGTGCGATACTGATTTCGTAGGAGGCACCTTGTCAAGGTCTTGGGCCAGACCATGTGTTGTTTTTATTCAGGTATGCATAAATATAGGCCTGGATTATGCTTGAAATCCTCCGTACTGCTGCAGGATGTCACTGGCCAAGCCTCAACATGTATATTGACAGTCACTGCTGCAGGATTTTGCAGGATTCAGGCAGTGGTCACCCCTCCACGGACCATATTCAAGAAATAATGGAGGGATTTGCACGATTGAGGCTATGCTATTTTTCCATGAGCCCAATTGGAGGATTTTGCAGGATGGAGGCTATAATCCTAGCAAAAAGACCTAGGGTGCTGGGGTTAAAAAAAATTAAAACCCTACGGTATCAGCTGAACTTTTTGACTTTGCTTTCTGTAAGAAATTATCAATAAATTTTTCCGAGGCAACATTCTGCTTGTGGCTCATGTATTCTGCACATACCCTCTCAAGCTCTTGGGGTAGTCTTGTCACACATACGGAGTACAGCCCTTTCAGGTTAGGCCTCAGTTCCACCAAGCTGCTTGCCTGGGTATTCGTTGAGCTGCCTTGACCGTTGACTGGCTGGCTTTGTTTTTCCCTTCTTTGAAAGGCCTTGGACTTGTGAGCTGCATGCTTAGATTTTGAATCATCAGAATCTAATTTAAAAATAAAAAAATACTCTGATTTTAGCATTTTGTCATTCTAAGGGAGACTCAAGTTGAGTCATACTTCATGTATGGAAATGACTCAAATTGAGTCATTCTAATGGAGTGACCCAAGTTGAGTCATTAAAAGGAATGACCCAAGTCAAGTCATTTTATGGGAGTGACCCAAGTTGAGTCATTAAAAGGAATGACCCAAGTCAAGTCATTCTATGGGAGTTACTCAAGTTGAGTCATTCTAAGGGAGGGACTCAAGTTGAGTCATTCTATAGAGTGACTCAAGTTGAGTCATTCTATAGAGTGACTCAAGTTGAGTCATTCTACGGGAGGGACTCAAGTTGAGTCATTCTATAGAGTGACTCAAGTTGAGTATTTCTAAGGAACTTACTCAAATGGAGTGACCCAAGTTGAGTCATTCAAATAGGTTACTCAACTTAATGAGTTATTCAAAGAAAAGAATCAAGTTGAGTCATTCCAAGACAGTGACTCAAGTTGAGTCATTCGAAGGTGTTACTCAAGTTGAGTTATTCAAAGAAAAGACTCAAGTTCAGTCATTCAAAGGCAGTGACTAAAGTTGAGTCATTCTAAGGGAATGACTCAGATTGAGTCATTCAATGGGAGTAACTCAAGCTAAGACACTTCCAAGACTATTTACAGATTGCTCACATTTTTAAAACTGGAGTTTTGTGCCTTAGACATGATTTGGTTCTCAGTCATTTGGTGACTCGAGTCAAACTGAGTCAGTTGCCTTTAATGACTAGAGCCGAGTCTAGTCACAGAATATTGCAATTAGAGTCAACTTAATTCGACGGGAACCCTTGTGACTTCAGATTTGGGCATTCCTGTCGGCGTGCGTCACATGCATTAATTGGCAAAATTAGCACGAACAAACAGAATTCTCTCGCAACTTTTAAGGCAATTTATTGATTTCTAACATACCTGAATGTTTCTTGGGGTACTTCTTGTTATTCGTCCTCTTTCTTTTAGCTAGAAAAAGAATTGAAATAAAATGATGCGGTTTTGCTGATAAGACTACGACAAACCTGTGGGAATTCAAATGAAGTTGTGGACCAAGATTTAAAGCCCAAAATGCTAATAATACAATTTTTTTTTTTAACGTAAATAAAGTTTTGTAAAAACCAACTTGAAAGTCCAGATTTCACAAATGTTGTTTAACTAATAATGTTTAGTTCTGATGTCTTACTGATGGGTTTGTCTGGAGTGAATTGTGCTTTGATAGCTGGTGAGGACATAAAGGAGTGATCGTCGGCGATTCCAAACAGCATCAGTTCCTGCAGTGCCTCAGAGTACTCAAATCTGTAAAAGCAATAAACAAGTAAATAAAATAATACAGTACTAGCACAATCAGCTTCCCAGATGCATGTGCTTTAAATCTGAAACCCTCCTGGGTATTTTGGCAAGAAACCCTGCCAAACGCAGCAACGTGCAACACTTGCCTAACTGACGGGCCTGCCCAGTGCCTCAAGATCCATCAGGTCAAAAGTCTGAAGGCCAAACTGCCTCAGAGTCTGTGGTCCCCAAATGCAGCAGGATACAACTGTGGCATTGTTCAATGGGACTAGCTCTCATTGTCTCAGAAGTTGGCCATCTCTGCACTGGTGTTGGTAGCTGAATGCATCAAAGGGCATCAGACTTTTGGGATTACCATGAATCTCAAATTCTTGAACAAGAATGACAGTGCGTCTTGACACAAACTCGGACATTTACCTGACAGTGTCAGCCAAACTCTCAAGGCAGGACCGAACATCGCTGAATCCCAGCTCCCGGAAAGGGAACCTTTTCCCAAGCAACTCTCGATAGTCTTTCTCAAATTGTACCAGGGGTACACCCCCTATCTTGGATAGCAAAACCCCTCTGGTGTGTTTCTTAACTTCCGTGGTCAGATCTTCAGTTGACATGATGCTACTCATATGGCTTCTTGTTGGATTCAAAGGTGATGTACCTAAACACAGAGACAAACAAACAAAAGGTTAGCTGTTTTGAGGTTTACGGATAGGTTATGAGCAAAGCCACTCTTACTATTGAAATTTTACTGAAGGTCCCAATTTATGTTTGCATGAGAATATGAATCATTGAATATCACAAATGTTTTTTTTTTTAATCATTGCCCAACTGGAGTGATTTGACACAGTGCTATGAGTGCCTTATAAACAGAAGAATCCATCTGGACATGCTGGAAGTAAAATGAAGATGAAGAAGACAAACACAACACGAAAATAAAGATGGCAATCACCGCGATGCAAAACAGGTAGAAATCGCAATTTCTTCATGTAGGCTTACCTCAAGCATGTGTAAAAAGAAACTTTTCGAAATTTAAAAAGCTGTCATTACACTTTGAACAAGTCTGCTTTACTTTAGGTCCAATATGTCATTTTGGAATGATAAAACATCCTCGACTCTAATTTATGTGCCCAAAACTAAACTGGCATGACTGGGGGCCTATTTTTTTTACACTACACAATCGACAATCGCTGGTCTTTTTTTTTATATATGCCTATGAGTATGACTATGAGGTCTACCACATTAAATTATTATTATATTGGAAAGAATGTTGCAACCTGACGCTGCTTTTTACTTCATCATTTTGTTCATATATCATCTCAATGAAGGTCAGTCGTTGCAGAAATGATGATAAGACATGAATCTGGGACAGAGAAACATTTCCAATTTTGTTAGGAAATACTTAAAAAATTGTCTTGACTCTCCATACTACTGTCTTTGACTTTGTACACAACAACTGCTGAAGTTGCGTCAGGTTGGAACATTATTTCCATTACATTAACATTGTTTAAAAAAAAAGTTGCAATCATGCTATAAAAACTCTTCCAATTGGGGATCTTTAATCCTTGGTAAACCTGTACCTTCCTTCACCACCGCCTCTCCACGCCTCATCCCCCCCCCGGCCCCGGCCACCACATTTTGACCGACGCAACACTGCACTGCTCAACATAACATGCTTATCATTACCATATCGAGCCGGAAATCTACGATCACCCTATGATACACTGACAGAAATCATAGCAATAATCTACCTGTGGTAATTTGCTTTATCAAGGGTAAACCCTGTCAAGTATCAGTCACTTCATCATCAGGCATGTCAGGTGAATTGAAGAGGAGAGGACCATGGAGGATTTACATCGCCTAGTATTATTACAAGAATGGGTTTTTCCCGCATTCCACCTGGCTTAAGGTAGCCGCGGATTTGGCCGGATGTCTGGCTGCGTATTCAGCCGCGCATTCACCAAAATTAAAAAATATATAACACATGCGGCAAAAGGTGATCTATTTTCAAGATAGATAACTCTATTATTTTATTCAACGAATTTCCCACAATACCATATAAAAAAAGACAAAAGCAACCATTTTCTCCACTTTTTTTCTCGAAATTGTTGATGCAATAATTACTATTAAACTAGCTGCATAAGGAATAATGACATTTTGCGTTATTTTTCAACGCAATTGGAGACGTTTTGAAAGTAACTTGCATCATTTGGAGCAAAGTGTACCAAACGTAATATTAAATACTCACAATGTTATTTCATAATCTACGAGATCATGCATGTTACTGGGCATTCTTAATTTTGGTATTGGCTACACACCGAACACTAATTAGTGCCTAATTAGTCCGTTAAAGACCATATTTTCACTGCACTATTACATACAAGTGTCCCCTTCGATTATCAGAACATTATTATTGAACGAAATTTCAATTCAGTGCACTGTGTTGTTCATGAGTTATCGTCTCCACAAGTAATGTGTGTTTTTATTTTTGTTTACTTATTAATGCCGACCAGTCGTTTAAGCAGATCGTGATCCACGTTGAGGTGACCAGTATTTGTGTAGCATGCCCTCTTTTGGAAGAAATTGATGTTCGTAACGGGAGTGCCCCCGACACACTGTAGTTTTTTTTTTTTTGGTGTATTATTTTTTCTTTAACGGTTTCTGTCCAATTTCAAATAGATAGTGTGGTATATCACAGTCAATTATGGGACGCAATTTCAAATCAGTGCAATGTGTTTTCTTGAGTTATCACAAGGAGTGCTTTATTTTTGTTCCATTGAAAGTGACTCGAATTGAATTTTTCGCGATTAGTACACTGTATTTCCTTAAATCATATTAAATTCATTCTTCAATGATTTCCATCGAATGTCAAACGTTTCGTGTCCCATATCTCGAACAATTATTGGAAGTATTTTCAATTCAGTGCAGTGTGTTCTTAAAGGGTTTCCGTTGATTTTCAAAGTAATTGAGTCCTATATCCCGAACACTTTTTAAACTCAATTTCAAATCAATGCACTGTGTTGTTCTTGAGTTATCGTCTCCACAAAATGTGTTTTTTTGTTCACTTAATGCTGACCTCGTGTGGGCAGATCCACGTTGACAGAAGTCTTAAAGGGAATATACAACATTTGCAAACATCGAAAAATAAAACTACCAAGTTTTTGCGAAATACCTTAATAGGATGTTGGTAAATGACAGTCTAAAGCATCCTGTAAAATTATGGCACCTGGTATACTGTCATTTTCAAGAAAAGTGGTATTTTTGTATCAATTTCCAACGCTGATCGGCCGATCAGCGTTGGAAACAACTGGCTTTTTTTTCAAATACTGGACCCAATTGACCATTGCACTTGTTTGCAATCGATTACAAACCTATGAACGGGTACGAGCCAGCTAGACTGGTTCCCTGACCTTACAATTCCCCAATGTATGTAAACTGCTCTGTTTCTTCTTATATGGAGTCAGGGAACCAGACTACAGGAAAATTATCGTTTTTCTTGGTTTTTATAGCATTTTCGAACCCAAAACCTCCAAAAAGTCAGTGTAACTATATTTGCTTTATATTTCCAACCCCCCAATTCCATCCATTTCTGAAAATTACAGCAAAAGCAAATGATGTATATTCCCTTTAACGGTGGTGACCAGTCTTTGTGTAGCGCGCCCTCTTTTGGAAAAACAAGATGTTGGTAAAACATGCGGGAGTGCCCTTACACATTTTAGTTTTTGTTTTTGTTGTAGTAATATTCTTCTCGTACGGTTTCTGTCGAATTTCAAATCTATTGTCTCGTATATCACAGTCAATTATGGAACGCAATTTCAAATCAGTGCAATGAGTTGTTCTTGAGTTAACGTCTCCACAAAGAGTGTTTTATTTTTGTTCTGTTAAAAGTGACTCGAATTCGTATTGAATTGTTTCGCGATTAGTACACTGTATTTCCTTAAATCATATTAAATTTATTCTTCAAGGGTTTCCGTTGATTTTCAAACCATTTGTGTCTTTTATTCCGAACAAATATTGAACGAAATTTCAATTCAGTGCACTGTGTTGTTCTTGAGTTATCGTCTCCACAAAGAGTGCTTTATTTTAGTTCCGTTTAAAGTGACTCGAATTCGTATTGAATTGTTTCGCGATTAGTACACTGTATTTCCTTTAATCATATTAAATTTATTCTTCAAGGGTTTCCGTTGATTTTCAAACCATTCGTGTTTTTATTCCGAACAAATATTGAACGTAATTTCAATTCAGTGCACTGTGTTGTTCTTGAGTTATCGTCTCCACAAAGAGTGCTTTATTTTTGTTCCGTTAAAAGTGACTCGAATTCGTATTGACTGTTTCGCGATTAGTACACTGTATTTCCTTAAATCATATTAAATTTATTATTCAAGGGTTTCCGCTGATTTTAAAAGTAATTGAGTCCTATACCCCGAACATTTTCTGAACGAAATTTTGAATCAATGTACTGTGTTGTTCTTGAGTTATCGTCTCCACAAGTGTGTTTTATTTTTGTTCACTTAATGCTGACCTCGTGTGGGCAGATCCACGTTGACAGAAGTCTATACGATGGTGACCAGTCTTTGTGTAGCCCGCCCTGTTTTGTAAGAAAAAGATGTTGGTAAAACATGCAGGAGTGCCCTTTCACACTTTAGTTTTTGTTTTTGATTAACATTCTTCTAGAACGGTTTCTGTCGAATTTCAAATCTATTGTCTCGTATATCACAGTCAATTGGACGCAATTTCAAATCAGTGTAATGTGTTTTTCTTGAGTTATTGTCTCCGCAGAGCTAGCTTAGCGCTTTATTTTTAAATTCGCGGGATTGAATTTTAGTAGACTGTATTTTCCTTAAAACGAAGTGTACCGCACAAGGCGCTCATGTTATCAAAATCTCAAAATTATATTTCATAATCTACGAGATCATGTTGACACTTAATTATAGTATAAGCTTCAGCCGAAAACTAATTAGTGCCTAATTATCCCGTTATTGAAGTGACCCCATTTTCCCTGCACCGGGTTCTAGTATTCGGCTGCGTATAATGATTGCCTCTTTAAAGTAAAAGGTAAAATGGTTCGCAGTACAATAGGGTCACTTTAACCGGCTAATTAGGCACTAAATAGTTTTCGGCTGAAGCCAAATGTGTGCCCGGTATAACGGTCTCGTAGAGAATGGAAAAAAAATTGTGAGTTTTTGACAATATGTGAGGTATCACTTTGTTTTAAAGGGGCAATGATGTAGTTGAGAACGCATTCTTATAATGTGCTGTAAAGTAGGATGGCTTTAACGGGCTAATTAAGCACTAATTAGTGTTCAGCTGAAGCTTTTACCAAAAGTAATTGCACCCAGTATAATGATCTCGTATATTATGAAATAGACTTGTGAGTTTACTATGAAAACATGTAGTGCAGGGAAAATGTGGTCTCGGGCTAATTCGGCACTAAATAGTGTTCGGCTTAAGCCTAAATCAAAATTAAGTGTGCCCAGTAACATTATCTCGTACAATATGAAATAAAATTGTGACTTTAGATATCATGTGGGGTACGTACACAATTTGTTTCAATGATTCCCATTATGCAGCTAATTTAATCGTAATTTTGAATCACAATTTCAAAAATAGTGGATGAAACGGTCGCTTATGTCGTTTTTTTGGACAAAAATATTGTTATTTGCATTTTATTATGGAAAAATCGTTGAATAGATGAAAATTATCTTTCTTGAAAATAGATCACATTTTGCCGCATGTATTATACATTGTGCGTCTTTTGGTGAATGCGCGGCTGGATCTGTGGCTGAATACGCGGCCAGTTATCCGGCCAAATCCACGGCTACCTTGACATTGTCTTTCCGATTGCACATGTTTATTTCTAGACGTTGGTAAACAATTACTTCGGTATAAAATTGGCGAGAACATGCCAAGTACCAGCGAAATGAAGTGTTGTCAAAATTCTAATCTCTTGAGGGCGCCCTTCAGGACATGTGGAAATTAATATTTTGCAAAGCAAACTCATGACAGCACTCCGGCTGCAGCGCATGGCGACGATGACTACGCTGTCGTACTGGACTGGTGGAGACTGACGTGAAGAACTTTTAATTATTTAGGTTTTGGTTGGTATACGCCTAAAAATGTCGAAATTGAATCTGTCCAAGCTGAACGCGCTTAAGAAGACATCTAAAGGTGCCGACACCGTGAAGTCGGCCGAAAAGAAGAAGCAAGTGTCAATTTCTAGGTTCTTTACGCCGGCGAAACAGCAGCGCCTGTCCGATGTCATTATCGATGTGGACTCGTCATGTTCGTCAAATAAGGAGAGAAATGGTACCGAGGTATAAACATGATAACTGTTTGTATCTTAAGTGTTTTCTTAGTAAATACTTCAATATTTTCCCTGCTAAATTTGACTTTTTACTAGCTTGAGTAATTCCAGCTCTAATGCATATCGCATAGGCATTTAGAGCTAGAGTTACTCAAGCTTACTTTTTTTTTTTTACATGTTTTAGGGCATATTATTATGGAAAGATTCCCACATCTGGCCATTACTTGTCACCCTGTGCCCAAATCCTATTGAGACTGGTCTGAAAATTTTTATGTGTTTTCTCAGTAATACTTCAAAGTTTTTCCTGCTAATTTTGACTTTTTACTAGGATGTATTTTCACTTTTTTCGTTGAAGGGAAAAATAAGTGAAGGCCAGATATGGGAATCTTTCCCATAGAATCATCAAATTTCAAAGTTGATTTGACACTTGTAGAATTTACATTGTCTGAAAGAGCTTTCCAAATGCAATTAAACAAATGGTCTCCTGACTTCATAGGGCAAGCAGTTCTCACATTATTGCAATTTTAAAGTTGCCTTAAAACAATGCTCGATTTGGCAGAAATAAATGTGACCGCATCAGTTGATTATGTGTACAAACGTATGGGAAATTTACACACAAATAACGGCATTGCTGTTTTGGGGAATCCGCAACTTTTTTTGGCAATGTGATTTAATAACAAACCAAACTTTCTATAGCCAGGCAACTATACCCTGCAGTTCTCTTTTGATGATGTTTGGAGCTAAGTGAAAGTATCCCTGTATGTGATACTCCATGTCAAACCTTTTCAAAAAAGGCGGTCACAAACAAATTAGGTCATTTTGGGCATGAAAATAGTGCCATCAATGTCTGTGGCAGTGGTTCAACCTACCCATATTATCACTTTCTTATGGCTGATGATAGGTCACTAAAGGGAAACATTAGTTATGGCCAGATATGGGAATCTTTCCTTTATCTCTACCAAAGGACGCCAGACTTTATTGTTTAACATCAGGATGGGCTAGCTCGGATTGGCTGAATCTCTGCCCTAGGCTAAGCTGTGAACTAACATGTAAGGAGTAGAAACGTAACTTTAAAAGACGGGGAATTGAACTGAACAAACAAAATAAACTATAGGGATAGGTAGGAGACCAAAGTGGTGTTTCAATGATCAAACTTGGGGCTAGTTCTAATCGTAATTTCACACAATCATGACATTGACAATGCTGAAAATGGTGTAGCTACCAGTAGGAGAGAGATCTATGTACATTGTACACAGTGGTGTTATTCGTTCGACTGCCAAACTCGATCTGCCAAATTTTCGGCAATATTCACCCAATTTGCAATGTGTACGCGGAGTCAAGGCACAAATGCACAAACCTAATTTAATTCGCACGCAAGTGACCATTCTGTCACAGTATGATAGACTTTTTCTTTGGTCGCCATCTTTTTTAACAATAAAACCGAAACGAATGAATGAATGAATACATGTCCACTTTTTCAGGCTGCCCTTGTCAAATTAAATTTTTTGATGATGATGTCCCGTCAATTGAGTGCAATTTTGTCCTTATAACGGTTATATTGCCAATTATTATAAATTTATAAGCTTGAATGATGCATCCTTTAATAATCATAATTGTTGATTACTTGCAGGTTGAGGTGCCATCTCCTTTCAGGAAACGATCTCATGTCTCACCCAGCCAGGAAGAGACATCAGGCAACAAAAGACAGAGAATTCAAACAGGTTTGTCAGGAAATCCGTTTCGATTTGATTTTCTGTCAGATCCTTTGACCCCAGCATGACTTTACTGGTGTTTATTTTGACACTGAAGCATTTTTTCTGCCATTCATGTATTTCATTCATATACATTAAAAAAAAAAAACAATTGAAATATATTTATTTTTTAGATTGCAGTAAAGATATCATGAATTGCTTGATTACTCAAAAAAATATTGCCTTTTGATATTTATATAATATTGGATGGCTTTGATGGGGATACAAGAATATATTGCATGAGCTTTAACAATATTACACAAGTTGCAAACAAGTGCAATATTGTTATAGTGAGTGCAACATATATTACCCCGAAAAAAAGCCATTCAATATGAAGCCTGATATAAATAATAATATAACATATCTTCAGTCACTTTAGTGAATATCTGTGTTTTAATACTTATCCCCAATGTTAGAAACTGAAATCAGTCCCATCTCAAGCCACACCCAGCACAAGTTGAACAGCTTCAAGTCCGGTATGCACCAAGACCCCATCAACTCAGAGATGCCTGTCGTCAACATCAGCCACAATTCTGCCAGCCTCAATCCAACACAGGACAGCGAAACAGTACATACATGTGGGGGTCAAAACTTGGGCCAAAGATTGACGAATGAGGAAGCATCGGGAGATCGGAACGAAGCAGACAGCGATGAAGATTTTTCAAACATTGTGTCATCATCCAAGTACAATCCCCACCCGTCATCACAGTGTGAGAATACACCCTCCTCATCCCTGGCGGAAAGATTTAAGTTCGGCTCGCACAAAGGAGGCAAAGCCTGCGCCGAGGAAGGCAAAGCAACTTCCAGGATGTCACCAAAGGAGGGTCCCTTGAGGGGCGTAAAGTACACCCCTCTGGAACTGCAGTTTCTGGAGATCAAGAAGCAGTACCCCGATGCCTTGTTGTTTGTGGAGTGTGGCTACAAGTATAAATTCTTCGGGCAGGATGCTGAGGTATATGGGCATCAAATCTTTGAACACAAAACACAATTTTATCAATAGAACTCTGTATTCCAAAAATCAGTCCATTGACTGATCGTTGGAACCCCCTACATCTGTTGATGTCTTGATTCCAAGTGATCATGACAGCCAGCCAGATGGAATAATTTCACGGGGTGTTTAGTACCAGAACAAGTTTTAATCCAAGTAAGCTTTTTGATAATATCTCGGTAGGTAACTTTTGGGATAAAAGCAAATCATCCAACAGTGCATATGCCTTAAACGTAAAGATCCAGCGGTGCTGTTATTGAGTGAACAGCACATCAGAGTGTACTCTGATGTGATGTGGGTAGCCGTTTTGTCGGAGGATAACGATCCAGATCCTCAGTATATGTATAGAACGACTGACTTGTGACTGACTTGTGATTGACTTGTGATTGACTCATTATTGACTTTTGACTGACCTGTGAAATACTTGTGACTAGCTTGCAATTGACTTGTGATTGCTAACCCTAACCCCCTAGTACTTCCTCAGGACTACCCTGCTGAATCCAACAGAGTCCAAACTGACTTTCCTGTTCAACCCACTTGCCTCATTTTCAGTTGCCTGCTGAATCCAACATTTTGCATGAGGAATGCACACAAGGGGTTAACTGTTCAATCCAACAGGCTCCATCGGGTACATGTATGTGACATAGTTGGATCCTGTTGTATTCAGCAGGGTTAGAGTTCTGATCGACGTGTGATGACTTGATCACATCTCTGGTTTGTTTTTCCTCAGATTGCAGCCAAAGAACTTAACATCTTCTGCCATCCAGACCACAACTTCATGGTGGCCAGTATCCCCGTCCATCGCCTCTTTGTCCACACCCGGCGACTGGTTGCCAAGGGCCACAAAGTGGGTGTGGTCAAGCAGACGGAGACCGCCGCGTTGAAGGCGGCCGGGGACAACAGGAGTGCTCCCTTTCAGAGAAAGCTGTCCGCTCTGTACACCAAGTCCACGCTGATTGGAGAAGATATCCTTGTAATGAAAACAATCCAAGAGTGCCTGTCACATGTTAACAGATCTGGCTACCATGCTTAGGAAAACTGTGATTACTTTCCATGACAGCCATAAGTTAAAGGTATAGTCCATCATTTGTAATTAAGCTGATTGCAGCTACGTGATGTCGCGTGTGCGTCGTGTCAACGCTTGCGCGCGCTTTGCCGAATAAAAAAACGAACTACTAACGGAAATTTAAGACGCACTGTTGGAAAGGCCTTCTTTTGTTGATTTCTTCAAAATGACAGCTTGCCAGAAAGAGTAATTTCACAGGGAGTTTAGTTTCCTTAGGCCAAAAAAAAAAAAGTCTCCGGTTTCTGGTATGCGCGCGCGTCGCCGTAGCCATGCGCGTCGGCAAAATGAAAAAGTTTTTTTTTCAATGAAAGATGATGTCTCAAAACCGCCAAACTCACTGGTTTGACTGGAATCCTGCTGCTGCACAATTTTAACGTGTTTTTAGATGGGGTTTTGATCGAGAATAAGCTTTATGTGGCCTCTCTGGACTCCCATATATTTGCACTTAGTTTAGTTGGGCACCATTTGCAGTCATCAGCCGACATTTGAAGCAAAAAAGTCAGGTACAAAAAAAAAAGAGCTGCGTCGCCGCACCACTTTTTGGGCAAGCTCCATACCAGAAACCGGAGACTTTTTTTTTTTGGCCTTACTGTCTTTCAACCAAGTATGTTTTTCAACAATAATTACATCAGTTACTTTTTGGATAGCTGCAAATGGTGGACTGTAGCTTTAAGCATTTTTCGTTGTTTGATTCCCCCTCCCCCCCAAAAATGTCCTTAAACCAAACATCCTTTGAAATAGTCAGACATTTGACCCATACAAACAAAGTGTTCTGTGGACCCTGAAGCAAATGAATATTTGATACTGATTTCTTTTAAAAAAAAGTTTTCCCTATCACACATTCAGAACATCCAGCAGTTATAAAACAAAGACAATGGAACGGGTATGTGCCATTATCAGTTAGCTATTGGGTATCCGAGGACCCGCACAGCCCTAAAAGCAATGCATTGTGGGCCAACGGTCAACTGTCCCATTTCCAAATGCGAAGTGAACTGTAAACTTGCCTGAGTTTTCATAGAAAGTGCCTGTTTACTGAGATCAGTTTACCTGCCAAAATGGCATGTGGTGTGCATCAGTTGTGACTAGCTCTAGACTGATTCTTGCTAAACATGTACATGTTATTAAGTGTTTGGCAATAATTTCTGAATAGCATTATTTTGATCCTTGCTTGTTGGAGCAAACGCCGTCTGTCTGAGATTCACTCGTTGTTCGTTTCCTTGACTGCTACGGTTTACATGTGGACCCCGTGATCGGCAGTCTTGCGTCTGATCCCACTGACGGTGAGGTATCGTCTGTCGTCCCTAGCAACTACCTACTTTGCCTCAGCGAGTTCACTAAACCCAGCAGCAAGGCACGCAAGAATGCCAGTGTGGAATTTGGAGTCGTGGTAAGTAAATTTTGTTACAATCGTTTTTAAACTTGCAGTTTGCCACTTCTCACCACTTCTCAGACAGCTTCACTGGCTCCCAGTTGCTCAACGCATTGAATTCCGCACACTCGTCCATGCCTACTATTCTCTAAATCACCGTGCTCCTAACTACCTATTCTCTCTCCTTACAATCCATGAATGTTCATACTCCCTTCGTAGTTCTGATGCCATATCCCTTGTGCCTGACAAGTCTCGCAAAAAGTCCGGTGACAGGGCATTTTTCATTGCTGCCTCCCGTTTATGGAATGCTCTGCCTGTCTCCATCACAAACACTGATTCTGTTCTATCCTTCAAGAAAGGACTCTAGACCCACCTCTTCCCCAAACAGTAGCTGGTTTTCCTCATCCTTTCATAATTTGTTCCCTTCTAGCGCCTTGCATCCTTTGGTAATTTGGTGCTATATAAATCTAGTTATTATTATTGTTGTGTGCTAGCTACCATCGGCAGATAAAGAACCAATCGTTATTTTTTTGGCGAAACTTTGCTAGGCCATCCAGCCTGCTACGGGCGACATCATCTATGACAGTTTCCATGACAACGACCATCTGAGCGAGTTGGATACCCGCATTCATCACATCCAGCCGGTCGAGCTCTTGCTGCCCACTGTCTTGACGGAGAAAACGGAGAAGCTAGTACAAGACATTGTCTCAAGCAGGTAACCATGGTAATGCCATATGCCCATCAATCTGGGGCTAATTTCATCGAACTAGGAAAGTCTTTTTTAGTATCAAATTTTAGTCAATTTCCGAATCAAAAAATGTATTATCTCACATGTGTTCATCATGTTTTTAGAACCATTTGTAGAGTCTTTCCGCTTTCTGAAGATGTTTTCTAGTTCTGTTTCTGTAAGCCTTTCAAGTACAACTTAAGTAAAATTTTAGACTGTGTTTGGTTTTGGAGGGTATTGATGCATCCTGAGACAAAATATCGGATTTCTTGACTCTCTTGTACATTTTGAGCAGTTTATAGTGGAGTGCCGTGGCCTTGTGGTTTTGAGTTTTGAATTTGTGGTCTGTGGGTAATTCTGCAGGATGTGGGTTTGAGTCCAGTCTGTGGCTACGGAGCGTGTGCTCTTGGGCAAGGCACTTTGTCACTCATTGCTTCTCTCCACCCAGGAGTAAATTGGTACCTGTCAGGTCATGCAGTTGGTTATTGTCGTTGATTTCAGCTGCCTTGCGCCAAAATGGCAGCATCGACCTGTATACTTTTCAGGGAGCTGAGATGGTGTTAGGAATGTTTCATGGGCCCAGTGAGCAGGGTAATAATGATGTAGCGCCTTGAGCACCAGTAATGGTGGATACGTGCGCTGTATAAAAACGCATTATTGTAGTGTCCAACGTGTTTCTATTACCTTAGCACAACTGAGGATGACCGCATCCGCATCGAGAGAATGGACAATGAGCATTTTGACTACAGCGAAGCCTTGGATGTTGTCACCGCATTCTACAGCCTCGAGGACGAGAGGGACGAAGAGCAGGAGACGGAGAAATGGAAGCAACGCAGAGATTGTGCAAGTAAGTACTAACAGCTTCTTGTATAGCGCTCATATCTATCACGAAGTGACGCTCCTGTTGCTCTATTATCACCCTGGCTTTAGCACAGCTGCCATTACGGCGCTCAAGCATTGAAGGAATTTCTTCCTACCAGGTACCCATTTACTACACCTGGGTGGAGAGAGGCAATCATAGTAAAGAGCCTTGCCCAAGCGCACAAGCACCATGCTCCCAGTCATCAGGATTCGAACCCATGTACCACAGCACGCAAGTCGACTACTGTAACCATTGGACCACAGCACCCCACTAGTAGGCTTATCCTTAGGTCATACATGTAGTTATCTTTATTTCAAGTTTTCCCGAGACAATATGGCACATCAGGCCGGTGTTTATCACTGGTTTCCTTGGCATGCTGAAAATTGCTTCCCCTGGATGGGATGCCAGTCCGTCGTACGTTACTCCCCAGCTAATGCCAGTACCCATCTGTGCTCCTGAGTGGAGAGAGGTAAGTGGAGTTAAGTGGCTTGCCCAAGGACATAACATATTGCCAGCGGTAGGATTCGAACCCCCTTTTGTTCCGTCATCCTTTATTCATCAATAATACTCAACTACTGAAGATACTGTGGCGAAACAGCCGGTGGACTGGTGCGAGTTTACCATGGCTCGCCTGGTTCCCCGACGTCGTGCGTAGGGTATAACGCGTAGTCAGAGATTTTAGGCAGTTTGTCTGCAGACGCTGTTGAGTGAACTTCGGAACGCAATTATTGCCGATTACTGAGTTAACCTCGTGCATGTTCGCCGCTGCTATCGGAAGTGTGGACATCGCGGCGTGCTGTTGAAGGCGTATGGTGAGACTTCAGAGTCATAATTAGCAAGCTAGACCTTTTGTTGTAAGGGGAAATTAGCCTGGGTGGCTGTGGGTTGAGCTGGTGACTGGGGACAGTAAGGTTCGTGTGGTATGTGCAGCAGTATTCCCTGGTCGGGAATTGGGTTGCCTGTTGCCTGTCGACCTTTGTCGCCAGGAGTCACCTCGGGGTTAGAAACCGCGCTCCGTAACCTGAGCCCAGTGATTTCTGTATGCTAGGTTGCATGTGAGGGTTACTCTGGTAAAGTCTTAATCAGTGTGTGCAGTTCATAACTTGTTGCTGTTGATCGCACTGGGTGTGCACAGTGAGGTTCTTGCCACTGTGGGATAATCGTTCTAGCTAATCAACAAGGTTAATTACATAGAGCCTGGTTAGGCTGGTTGTTGTAAGCATTGTATAATAAGAGGTTATTGCTGTGTAAGGCTTACTTTACAGGGATAAACCTAGAGCAGCGGGGAACGTTGTTCTGCGAGGTTTATTTGCCACTCATTAAGCTTGTGTATTTGGACCGAATAAAGAGTTGTTTCTTGTTGTTCTCTAAGACACATGTGTAGTGAGGTTTATTGAGGTTCCCTGGTCACCTCTAGGTTGCTTGCCACGTGAATTGGTATTCCTTTAGCGTTGGTATATTTCCAACAAACGGACAGGCCTAGGACTTGAATCCTCCGTTCGTGACGTAGTCCCCCCTTATTTGCGTGACCGCTCATGCGCATGTAAGGTCATTAAATATTTTTGTGGGATAGTCAGCTCTTGTTGGTGTGGGTGTAATTCCTTATCCATAGACAGGCGAGCGCGCCACAAATGGTGTCAGAAGTGGGATGCTTTAGGTTTATTTTTCACGAGGTTGACAGCATCCTGTGTAAGGTTGCTGAGGTTTACTAATAACCCTCTTGTGAGGTGTTGTCGTCAATATTTTGTTTTTGGTCGATTGCACTTTTGTGCAAGGGTTATTCAGGGTTTTCCTTGCCAAACTGACCCGGAGGTGAGGCAATCACCTGGTCACGGTTGAGAGTGAAAACTCTGGGTGAGGTCACAGCGAGGCTCATAATTGAGACATTGTTGCTGTGGTTATTGATTGCACTTATTTTGGTTGTTCTGGTTTTCACTGCAACTGTGGTCGGTTGCATGTGGTGGTTCGGCTAGCAGACCAACAGAGACGAGGTTAACAGTGGTTGACGGGTGTGAGGTTTAACACCTACAGGGAAGAACTTGAGACGTCAATATGAGCGACAGTTTCAAAAGTAGTGTTGTCACTTCGGGTGAGGTTGCTTCCCCGGGAGTTAACGCTGACAAGTCCCTGGAGGCAGAGAATCAATTGCTGCAATGGGAGGTTCAACAGTTGAAAGCTGAGCTACGGCGGAACTTCCGGAAGGGAAAAACTTCGAGTACGCCTGCTGAAGAGGGTCGTGTTCGGTCTGAGGTTGATTCGGAGATCAATTTCAGGTTGCCGAGGGAAACCTCGGGGTATGCTTCATTTGAGGGTGAACCCAAAGGAGGTTTGGCGAAACCTGGTGGGGCGAACCTTAGTACCAGTACACCACAGGGAAAGTCTTCGCCTGGGGTCAGGTCTGGTGGTGATCTTGGACTGAGTCCAGTCACAAATCTGTTTGTAGGGGTTGTTGCGAGTGATGCTCGGAAGCTGCATACGGACTTAATGAGTTTTGTGACCCGACCGCCAACGAGGTGTACTAGCAACCTCACAGAGAGTTGTAGTGACACTGAAGCAGTTCCTTGGAAACTCACGAGGGAGCCGCGGGTAGTTGGTGAGGTTAATTGTCCGGGGTCTGTGTTGTGCCAGACAGGTATGACGGGAAGGTTGTTTGGAATGAGTATTTCAGGCATTTTGAATCCTGTCGGGAAGTGAATGGTTGGACCGATTTGCAGGCTGTCAAGTACTTGTCCGCAAGTTTACAGGGTAGTGCACTGAGGTTGATTGGTGAGGGTGCACCGTCTGGTCGCGTGCTCACCTATGGTGAGCTTGTGAAGTTGTTAGAGCAGAGGTTTGGTCATAGTCAACAAGCTGAGAACTTTTTGGTGGATTTACGGCATCGTCGGCAGAAACCAAAGGAGACTCTTCGTGAGTTGGGTCAGGCTATTAGAGAGTTGACTGTGAAGGCTTATCCTGAGATACAGGAAGAAGCCAGGGATAGGCTTGCCAAGAATCATTTCATGGATGCTGTAGAGAGTCAGTCAGTGCGGGAGGGCATTCACCGAGCCCGTCCCAGGGGTCTTGATGAAGCTGGAAACTGAGAATTTTGAAAGAGTTGAGCAGCAGCGGAGGCAAGATAACAAGCCGACCAAGTTTGCGAGAGCACTCAACAGTAGTCCGGAGGATAGGCTTGAGAAGATGGGGCATGCCATTGAAAAGAGGGTGTGTTCCATGGTCCAGTCATTGTTTTCTGAGTTGTCGAAGCAGAAGCAAAGTGGGGAAACTGAGATGGTAGTGTCTCCGTTGAGATCAGCTAAAACTCCTAAGAAGGAGCGAGGTGATCTGAGGTGTTTTAACTGCGGTGAACCAGGTCATTTCCGGCGAGCATGTAAGGGGCCGCGGCCGAAGCAAGGTTCCAAGCAGGGAAACGCCGTCCAGCCGACCGGCGGGCTCGCGGGCAGGCTGGAAAGTTAACAGAGCCCACAGGAGGTTGTAGTCAGAAGAGACCCTCGGGTGAGGCAAGCGACCAAGTAGTGGTCGCAGGCCCCATGGGTGGGGGAATGGCAAAATATGGTTTATTCGTGGATGGGACGATACGGGGCACCAAGTGTAGGTTTCTCATCGATACCAGGTCGACCGACACTGTGGTGAGCAGCATAGTGTATCACCAAATTCCACGGGAACAGAGACCAATTTTGGAGACAGGACTGAAGGTGGAGCAAGTTGATGTCAGTCCGTTGGCAGTGGTTGGGGCTGCCTGGGTGGAGGTACAGATAGGGAAGACAGTAGCCACTGCGAAGGTGATCTTTGCCGACGTCCCGTATTCAGGAATTCTGGGGATGAATTTCCTGTTGCCCGTGGGTGCGAGTTTGGATCTGCAATCTCTTCAACTGAGGTTAAATGGTGAGCACATTTAATGCACTTATAGTGCTGGTGAGTCGTTTGTGGGAGAGTAGTTGTCAGTGAGACTACGGAGATTCCCTCTGGCCATGAGGCTGTGGTGTACCGATAACGAAGAAGTACTCGTGCTCCCGTCATTGAAAACCACTGAAACGGCAGCCGACGTTCAAATAGGCACAAATTTGAGTTCCGAGCAAACAAAACAAGTGAAGCGACTTCTCGGCAATTATCAAAGTACAATGACTGATATGCCTGGCAAAACAAACTTAGATGAACACGCGATTACACTGTCCTCAACAGAACCAATCCGAAGCAAGCCTTACCCACTTCCCTATGCATTACGAGAAACGGTAGATTCTGAAACCGCGGAAATGTTCGAAATGGGTATTATAGAGTCATCCAATTCGCCCTACGCATCGCCAATTGTAATCGTCAAAAAGAAAGACCGTAGCAATAGATTTTGCATTGACTTCCGCAAACTCAATAAAATCACAACATTTGATGCAGAACCCATCCCAAATCAGGAGGAAATCTTTGCCAAATTATCGAAAGATCACTACTTCTCCAAATTCGACTTAAGTAAAGGATACTGGCAAATTCCGCTTAAAGAAAGTGACAAAATAAAAACGGCATTTCTGACCCCAAATGGATTGTATCAGTTTAACGTGATGCCGTTCGGCTTAATCAATGCCCCTGCAACTTTCTCGCGTATGATGAGAACACTATTACACGGTATGGATCACGTTGATAATTTCATTGATGACATTTTAATTCATACGCAAACTTGGCCAAGTCACTTAGAAACTCTCAAAGAACTTCTACGCAGACTCCAACGCGCAAATCTAACCGCAAAGCCCAGCAAATGCGTGATAGGAATGGAAACAGTAGAATTCTTAGGACACGTAGTAGGTCAAGGTCAGCTAGCGCCACAAGATGAAAAGATCGCAAAGATTCAGTCTGCACCTCGTCCAGAGACGAAGAAACAAATGAGATCATTCTTAGGACTTGCCGGATATTATCGCAAATTTATTCCCAACTACGCGGCCAAAGCATCACCTCTCACAGACAAAACTAAAAATTCAGAGCCGAACAAAATTACATGGGAT